GTTCTAAGGTATTTTTTAAAAAATTGATGCACATGGCCTCAGAATTAAAGGCAATACTTTAAACCAAGTGAAAAAAATGCCTAAGTAAAAGTAACATTAAACCGGAACACAAAAGCTTGTGGAATAAAAGTTGGTCTAGTAACAGTAACTAATGTGAAGTCTCATCCCTATTTTCTCTAACATACTGCTCCAGATCATTCACACTAACTGATGATGGGTATATGCTATTTGGAGGACCTTTGTTGCCACTTAATTATGCTGGGTCATCAGCCAAATAGCCATTGCTTACTCAGTTTATTAATATGCAAGAAAAAAAAACCTGGGCCTGTATAGTTGGAAGATGGCAAGTTTCTCATCTTTAATATCTGTAATCAAAACGTTTATATTATGTGAAAATCATGAACTTGAGATCAAGAGGTCGTCCCCAGATATTTGCAAGCTGAATATTGAAAGTGTCAGTGACCTTCTAATAACATGCAGCTGTTGCTTTAGTCACATATGGTAGTGTCCTTTAAAGAAAGTCTAGGAAGCTTGACTGTCTAATGAATGCTTGTATTTGCAGGTGGCTGGGAAGAAAACTACTGCTGTACTTAACTTCCTTCTTCATTTTCCTCTGTACTAAAAATTTTGCCATTCCTTTTGAGTTAGATCTACCACAGCTTCTTCTTAGCTTCTGTATTTCTATGACAGGTGCTGTATTTGCATTCTTATTTTCTTTTAGCAAACTGTCTTCAAGGTCCACAATAGCTGTTTTGGTATCTTTGCCTAAACTGTGTTGCAAAGCAGAACATGTGAGAAAATGAACCAGCTCTTATTGTGAAAACCCAGACAAAAAGCCACAGAGAGACAGAGACTTTCTAACAAGCGTGTTCATTGTATTTTGGACATGCTGCCTGGAGAAATCTGGGACTTATATTCCAAAAATACAAATCTGCTCATCTCTAGAAAGCATGCTTATATATAACGGATTAATAAAAATAAGTGTTTTTTTGAAAAGTTGAAATAATTAAAAGTTGAAATAATTTAGTTGGAAAGGATGTAATCAGTATTATCCATCAGAAAAAATACAACTGAAATAACTTAGAGAAGGTGTAATCTACAGACTAATTCTAGTACATGCCTTCCATAGTCTGGTACTACTATAAGCATAGTATGTTCTGTGTGTATGTACCACTATAGCTAGCTCTTTGTTTGAATTTAGGTGAAATATTTGGTGGCGGATCTCATGGTTCTGTTTAAAATGTGATGCATGCCGATGAAGTCATACTAAGTAGAGTAGTTGTGCAAGTAATAACAAGAGAAAAGTAATAACAAGAAAATTAAAAGAGCATGAAGAATTTTTTAGGTGTTTTCCTTATTATATTTTCATAACTACCTGCCCTCTAATAAAGAATAATTCATCTTAAGTTACAAACATAGAGATGTTTGGTTACATTTGATCTACATCTTAGTAGATAATCCTGCAGTAAAAATAGACACACTTGAAGCTGCAGTCCAGTATCATCTTATGTTAGTAAGAAGCTCCATTAAATTTGGTGGTGGTTAACTATTTCTTTCTTCATTTATCTAAGAAGCAAAACAGTTGCTGTTAGATGCTCCATCATCTGAAAGTTGTCCTGCTGAACAACTTAGATAGTCAGTGTACATGAAAAACTTGGTGCCTTGAGAATTTTTTTAAATCAATTTATATCCCCCCATCTAGACTGAAGTATACTCTGGGCGGCTAACAATAATGCATAAAATTAAAAACAATATAATAAAATAAAAACAACAGTAATAATATAATACAAGTTGGCAAAAGTAATTAGGTGACCAACTCCGGATAGGTCGCGGACTATACGGAAAAGTTCCACCTGCTGATTAGAAACTTTGCTTATCTGGACAGTGAACTGAGCTCAACTGGCAGCCTTCACGTTAGTAAGGTAATAGTTAGTCGCGATCCTGACAGCTTTCCGATTATATTCTGTCAGGTTCCATCTCCAATTGCACTCTAGCCTTCTCCTGGTCTGCTTCATAGCTCACAGCTGTTGGTTAAACCAGGGCACTGGATGAGCTCTGCAACAAGAGAGGGCGTTTAGGAGTGATCATGTCAACAGCTCTGGTGGCGGCGGCAAGCTAGCCATCAATAAAAGCCATGACAGGAGTGCCAGTCAGTTCAGCCAGAATCCCTCTCATGGAGTCCTAGAATCTTATAGGATCCAGTAGCCTTCGAGGGCGGACCATTAAAATAAGTCTTTGCTCCCTGCGGGGTGGAAGAGCCACTGAGAGGTTGCATTTTATTAGGTGGTGATCCAACCATGACAAGGGGACTGACACAAGGTCAGTCACCATCAGACCACACTCACTCCACTTGGTGGAGAACACAAAGTCTAACGTGTGACCTCCCACGTGGGTGGGGCCGTTAACATGTTGGGACATGTCCAACAAAGCCATGGTTTCCAAGAACTCAACAGCCGGACCAGAAACCTCCACCTCCTCATGGATGTTGAAATCACCCAAGACCAGGTGAAATCACCCAAGACCAACAGTGCTGTGGAGACTAAGTCCGATAGCTCTGGTGAGGAAATGGCTGGGTCACGGGGAGTGTGGTAACCCAGCAAGATCCCAATACCATCCCTGGCCCCAGTCAACAAATGGAGGGTCTCAAGACCTGGTGTCGCCACTGCAGAGCACCTAACAACCTCTAGAGCAGCAGTCCCCAACCTTTTTTGAACCGTGGACTGGTTGGGGGGATGGCCTCTATGCGCGGGGGGTGTCATGCTCAGGGGGGCCTGTCGTGCTCGCGCACATACACATGAGCAACACCCCCCAAGTGCAAAGCTCCATCCATGAGCGCAACCCACACGTGAGTGTGACACGCCCCCCATGAGCACAACATGCCCACTGGGTGGGGTTGTGTGGAGATCTGTATCTGTGGCCCAGTCCTGGGAAGCCCACGGACCAGCACTGGGCTGTGGACCAGGGGTTGGGGATCCCTGCTCTAGAGTGTTTCTATGAACAATGGTGACTCCCCCCCACCTCTCCAATCTACCCTGGTGTTGGAATGCATAACCGGAAGGACAGGCAAGAGTCAGGGGAACACCACCTTACCTGCCCATCCAAGTTTCAGTTATGCATGCCAGATCTGCATCCTCTTCCAGAATAAGATCTTGAATAATCTGGAACTTGTTGGATACAGATCTGATATTCAGTAACACCAGATTTAGAGTGGAGGGATGGCTGATCAGGCAACCTTGAGTCTGACAGGTGGTCACAGTGCCAGAACAGTGAACAGCCTTCAAACATCTGTTTACTGTTCTTCTGAAACGAGTAGGAACTGCTATCGCCGTATCTCCCTCTACCCGAAAGCACTCGGATGTTGAAAGGACCCCCACTGACATCTGTTTACCGTTCTTCTGAAATGAGTCGGAACTGCTATCGCCATATCTCCCTTTACCCGAAAGCACTCGGATGTTCAAAGGACCCCCACTTGGGGGGGGGCAAGCTTTCCACTCCATGTCAAACAAAAGGGAAGAAAAGAGAAAAGACCAACGAATATAACAAATTAATAAAAGTGAACAGTAGAGTAGTAACAAAGTTAACAAAATTAATCAAAACCATAACATAAAAATACACATTTAAATTAAACAATAATCAAATTAGGCAACTTAAAAGTTAAAACTTAAGAAAAGAGAGAATAAAAATAAACGCCCAGGCATACCACCCCCTGTCATAGCCAGATACAAGAAAAATAAATAAATTAGGAAAAAATAGGGCAATGAAAAAGAAAAAAATCATAGATGTTAAAAACGAATTGGTACACTTCCAAGGGTAGCCCATTCTTTTATTCTTCTGTTGGTTGCATTGTCTTTTAAAGTTATCAAAAAGTCTGTAATTTTGCAAAAGAGGCTGGTTTTAACCATCCAGTAATTATTCTACAGGATTCCCTGTGGATAGAATGACGTATTAGGACTCTGGAGAACAGGGTTCGAATCTCCACTTGGCCATGGAAACTCATGGAGGGAGTGGAATTGGTAAAACCACTTCTTAAATAGCAGTGGAACTGGTAAAACCACTTCTTAAATAGTTTAGTAAGAGTAGTCCCATTTGAATCAAAAGAACTTACAGAGGAGTTGTCTCTCTAAATTGATTCAGTGGGCTCACTTGAATATTTTGTTGTTGCTTAGTTGTTAAGTCGTGTCCAACTCTTCGTGACCCCATGGACCAGAGCACGCCGGGCCCTCCTGTCTTCCACTGCTTCCCGGAATTGGGTCAAATTCATGTTGGTAGCTTCGGTGCCACTGTCCATCCATCTCATCCTCTGTCGTCCTCTTCTCCTCTAGCCTTCACACTTTCCCAACATCAGGGTCTTTTCCAGGGAGTCTTCTCTTCTCATGAGATGGCCAAAGTATTGGAGCCCCAGCTTCAGGATCTGTCCTTCCGATAAACAGTAAAACTTTGAGCACCATTACCAAAATATATTCCATGCACCTCCAAGAGGTGATGCCCAGGAGATTGTGTAATGGTTCTTACAAGCAGGTGCCATAAAGTGCAGAGCTATCTACCAGGTCTCTCCGCTATCATTGCCATTTCTTGACAATGACCAGAGTATTGTTGGGGGTTTATACCAATGTATTTGAATACATTGTGGTGATGACTCATTGTTCAAATCCCTGGTCATAGGCCAAGTTAACTGACTGACTTTCAGTTAAGATTACAAGTCGCAACTCATTAATTAGTGGCAATTTGCCACCATGAGTTTTGCAACAGTGTAAATCATCAATAGGATCCTGTCCAGTGACCACCCTAGATATTCTGGTGCATCTGTATTTAGCAATTCTTGCTTATTTAGAACAGTTATTGTTCTATGGATTCCAATAGTTTCATACATAGAAATCATGATATGAAAACCAGTCTTTAGCACATAAACCTATAAGCTTATAACCAGTAGCAGCCTTAAAGCTCAAATCTCCATCAATTCATTTATTTATTTCATGATATGCTTCTTCTGTGTTTTTTAGATCGAATTCCATTACCTAGGAATATGATTGAAAACAGCATGTTCGAGGAAGAGCCTGACGTAGTTGACCTGGCTAAAGAGCCTTGCTTGCATCCCTTGGAGCCTGATGAAGCAGAATATGAACCAAGGAGTTCTCGGCTTCTTGTACGTGGTCTTGGAGACCATGAAATGGATGAGGATGAAGAGGATTATGAATCATCATCTGCCAAACTTCTAGGAATGTCTTTTATGAATAGAAGCACTGGACTGGAGTGTGGTAACCCAGCAAGATCCCAATACCATCCCTGGCCCCAGTCAACAAATGGAGGGTCTCAAGACCTGGTGTCGCCACTGCAGAGCACCTAACAACCTCTAGAGCAGCAGTCCCCAACCTTTTTTGAACCGTGGACTGGTTGGGGGGATGGCCTCTATGCGCGGGGGGTGTCATGCTCAGGGGGGCCTGTCGTGCTCACGCACATACACATGAACAACATCCCCCAAGTGCAAAGCCCCATCCATGAGCGCAACCCACATGTGAGTGCGACACGCCCCCCATGAGCACAACATGCCTACTGGGTGGGATTGTGTGGAGATCTGTATCTGTGGCCCAGTCCTGGGAAGCCCATGGACCGGCACTGGGCTGTGGACCAGGGCTTGGGGATCCCTGCTCTAGAGTGTTTCTATGAACAATGGCTACTCCACCCCACCTCTCCAATCTACCCTGGTGTTGGAATGCATAACCGGAAGGACAGGCAAGAGTCAGGGGAACACCACCTTACCTGCCCATCCAAGTTTCAGTTATGCATGCCAGATCTGCATCCTCTTCCAGAATAAGATCTTGAATAATCTGGAACTTGTTGGATACAGATCTGATATTCAGCAACACCAGATTTAGAGTGGAGGGATGGCTGATCAGGCAACCTTGAGTCTGACAGGTGGTCACACTGCCAGAACAGTGAACAGCCTTCAAACATCTGTTTACCGTTCTTCTGAAATGAGTCGGAACTGCTATCGCCATATCTCCCTTTACCCGAAAGCACTCGGATGTTCAAAGGACCCCCACTTGGGGGGGGGCAAGCTTTCCACTCCATGTCAAACAAAAGGGAAGAAAAGAGAAAAGACCAACGAATATAACAAATTAATAAAAGTGAACAGTAGAGTAGTAACAAAGTTAACAAAATTAATCAAAACCATAACATAAAAATACACATTTAAATTAAACAATAATCAAATTAGGCAACTTAAAAGTTAAAACTTAAGAAAAGAGAGAATAAAAATAAACGCCCAGGCATACCACCCCCTGTCATAGCCAGATACAAGAAAAATAAATAAATTAGGAAAAAATAGGGCAATGAAAAAGAAAAAAACATAGATGTTAAAAACGAATTGGTACACTTCCAAGGGAAGCCCATTCTTTTATTCCTCTATTGGTTGCATTGTCTTTTAAAGTTATCAAAAAGTCTGTAATTTTGCAAAAGAGGCTAGTTTTAACCACCCAGTAATTATTCTACAGGATTCCCTGTGGATAGAATGACGTATTAGGACTCTGGAGAACAGGGTTCGAATCTCCACTTGGCCATGGAAACTCATGGAGGGAGTGGAATTGGTAAAACCACTTCTTAAATAGCTTAGTAAGAGTAGTCCCATTTGAATCAAAAGAACTTACAGAGGAGTTGTCTCTCTAAATTGATTCAGTGGGCTCACTTGAATATTTTGTTGTTGCTTAGTTGTTAAGTCGTGTCCAACTCTTCGTGACCCCATGGACCAGAGCACGCCGGGCCCTCCTGTCTTCCACTGCTTCCCGGAATTGGGTCAAATTCATGTTGGTAGCTTCGGTGACACTGTCCATCCATCTCATCCTCTGTCGTCCTCTTCTCCTCTAGCCTTCACACTTTCCCAACATCAGGGTCTTGGGAGTGGAGTCTTCTCTTCTCATGAGATGGCCAAAGTATTGGAGCCTCAGCTTCAGGATCTGTCCTTCCGATAAACAGTAAAACTTTGAGCACCATTACCAAAATATATTCCATGCCAAGAGGTGTCAGCTTCAGGATCTGTCCTTCCGATAAACAGTAAAACTTTGAGCACCATTACCAAAATATATTCCATGCAGCTCCAAGAGGTGATGCCCAGGAGATTGTGTAATGGTTCTTACAAGCAGGTGCCATAAAGTGCAGAGCTATCTACCAGGTCTCTCCGCTATCATTGCCATTTCTTGACAATGACCAGAGTATTGTTGGGGGTTTATACCAATGTATTTGAATACATTGTGGTGATGACTCATTGTTCAAATCCCTGGTCATAGGCCAAGTTAACTGACTGACTTTCAGTTAAGATTACAAGTCTCCACCTGCTGATTAGAAACTTTGCTTATCTGGACAGTGAACTGAGCTCAACTGGCAGCCTTCACGTTAGTAAGGTAATAATTAATTAGTGGCAATTTGCCACCATGAGTTTTGCAACAGTGTAAATCATCAATAGGATCCTGTCCAGTGACCACCCTAGATATTCTGGTGCATCTGTATTTAGCAATTCTTGCTTATTTAGAACAGTTATTGTTCTATGGATTCCAATAGTTTCATACATAGAAATCATGATATGAAAACCAGTCTTTAGCACATAAACCTATAAGCTTATAACCAGTAGCAGCCTTAAAGCTCAAATCTCCATCAATTCATTTATTTATTTCATGATATGCTTCTTCTGTGTTTTTTAGATCGAATTCCATTACCTAGGAATATGATTGAAAACAGCATGTTCGAGGAAGAGCCTGACGTAGTTGACCTGGCTAAAGAGCCTTGCTTGCATCCCTTGGAGCCTGATGAAGCAGAATATGAACCAAGGAGTTCTCGGCTTCTTGTACGTGGTCTTGGAGACCATGAAATGGATGAGGATGAAGAGGATTATGAATCATCATCTGCCAAACTTCTAGGAATGTCTTTTATGAATAGAAGCACTGGACTGCGTAATAGCACAGTTGGTTACAGACAGAATTTGGATGGATCATGTTGTGCTCCATCTGTAAGGACCACAGTGATCTGTGCTGTTGTTCTTGTGATTGCTGTTTCTGTAATAATGGCAATCAGTCTTATTCCCAAATGTACCTTTACCAAAGAAGGCTGCCATAACAAAAACCACACAGCAGAAGATGTATATCCTTTAGCAACAAATGGAAAGCCCTTTCCATGGGCACAATTTAGGCTTCCAAGTTCTGTTGTGCCTATACATTACAGTGTTGTACTGCAGCCAAATCTAACCACAACAATGTTTACAGGTTCAGTACAGATAACAGTGAAAGCCATTCAGGCTACTGGGCATGTCATCCTTCACAGCTCAAAACTTAATATTACCAAGGCAACTTTGGCTTCATCAGGTTCAAGCCGCCAGAGACCAGTTGAAATTCTGGAGTATCCGTTGAATGACCAGATTGCAGTTTTGGCTCCAGAGGCGCTGATTGCAGGACGAGAGTATAACATCAACATGGAGTATTTCTCTAATTTATCAGACAATTACTATGGTTTCTACAAAATAGCTTTTAAGGATAGCAGTTCAATGGCAGGGTAAGCTTGGAAAATGATTTACTTCTGTGCAATGTGTTTGTTTGTTTGTTTTGTTTAGTCATTCGATATATTTATATCCTGTCCATCCAGTGTTATGGCACTTTGGTTGGATAACAACAGTTAAAAGACAACTTGTTTGGAATGCGCTCATTTATATCTTACATATGTAATAATCCAGTTGGATTGAAACAGTACCATGGTTGAATGTTTTCTTCACTCACCAACCTCCTGAAGACGTGTACCGAAATAGCTGTTTCTCTCAAGACTGACTAGTACGCAACCCAACTAAAAATAAACCCATCCTCATCTTTATAGTTGATTTTAACATTGCCCATATTTTTTACTATTAAAGAATCCCAGTGTGAGTTCTCTAACAGATTTGATCACTTCTTCATTTTTATTCTAAAAATAGTTTTTATTCTAAAAATAGTGGTTTGTACTTATATCTTGTTTTTCACCCTAATTATTATTGGTGTGTGTGTGTTGTGATGTTGTTAGAGTGGGCTGTGTTATAGGCCAGTTCTAACAGATTTGATCACTTCTTCATTTTTTTTCTAAAAATAGTTTGTTGTTGTCTTGTACTTATATCTTGTTTTTCACCCAACTTATTATTGTTGTGTGTGTGTTGTGATGTTGTTAGACTGGGCTGTGTTATAGTCCAGTCATTCTCAGTGGGGCCATATGCCCCCCTGGGGAGCCCTGGCATATTTGAAGGGGGCCATAGACTGGAAACAATTTTTCACATACGACCTTTTAAATTTCATTATGCAACTTACATAATTGATTCAGCCTGTATATTTACTTCATATTGTTTGTATGGCGGTGGCCAAAAAAAGGTTGGGAATGGGTGTTTCAGTATTGTCAACATAGCTGATAATGAGGGGTACAGGGAGTTGCAGCCCAATAACATTTGGAGGCCACAGTTCCCACTCATGCTGAGTGGTCTGTAGGATACAAGTGGGAGTAATTGTATGCTGCATGGCACCCAAGCTCTTTCTCACTTGGTTTTTCACAAGAGAAAGGCCAAGGGTATGGCACCATATATTATTGGGCACTATCTTTAGGACGCAGCTCCTAATGCTCTTGCCTCAGCTTGTTCTTCCCAGTGGGACAGGATTGTGCCCTGGATGCCACATGAAATTGAGCCACATCGTCATTGTTGCATTACATCTAGTGAAGAATACACTGCTGTATCTGATTAACTTCTCAGTTTTTGAAGCAGAAGCTGAGTTACGGCAAACCACAAACCTATGCTAAGGTTGTTTCCCCATGTTTTGACTATGGTGCATCAGTTACTGGAATATACAAAATTAGGATAGTGCAAGCATATATAGAGAACTTAAAAGTAAAGAATGTAGCCTTCTGTTTCATTTCTGCTGTTATGCTTTGAACAAAGCAAATGTTGAATCTAAAATGCAGTCTAGCATTTCCATGTCACAGTTTGGTCTGTGACTGGTTTAATACTTCAGGAAAATAGATGTGAGGCAAATTGATCTAAGTCAGAAGAGGTTAAAAGGGGAATAAAGATGTAATAGTTGAAAACTGGCTTGGTGTAGACATAAATGTGGCTGAGGAAAGACTTTTAAACATTGTAAATACTGAAGTATATGAAGAACAACTTGTATCTGGACAGTTCCCAATAGATTTCTAATGTTTACTATTCCTATGTACCCTATTTGGTAACAAATCTAAGGCTACTGATTGTCTTCCTTGAACAGTAAGGCTAGGATTTTAATTTTTTCATTTGTTTTGCTTTTACGAATATACATTTTAAATGTAAATCTATTTTGCTTTTGTCAGGCAGCTTGCAGCAACTCAATTTGAGCCCCTGGCAGCAAGATCAGCATTTCCTTGCTTTGATGAACCAGCCTTCAAAGCCACTTTTCAAATTAAGGTCAAAAGAGAAAAGGATCATTTTGCTCTGTCGAATATGCCAAAGGTAGAGTCAAGCCATTCCCCTCTCTTTGCAGAATGGATAACCTTGTGTGCTCTACAATTTGTATAATCACTTATTCATTGTTTTTGTCACAAAATAGAATAATTTTGCTACTTGGTACGGATTTGATATCATGATAATATGTTCTGTTTTAATCTTGTTTGTATGATGGAAAAAAAGGTGTGGGCATTATCCTTTGACAGTGTTCATCAGTGAATGTGAACATTAAGAATATAAGAAAATACTTGCTGGATCAGATTAAAGAGCCTTATAATCTTGTTTCTCACAATAGCCTGCTCCGTGCCTCTGGGAAATCTACAAACAGGGCATTAAGGGAATAGCCTGCTTCCCTTTGTCCTGACCAACAAATTTATGCTGGATCAGATTAAAGAGCCTTATAATCCTGTTTCTCACAATAGCCTGCTTCTATTTGTCCTGACCAACAAATTTAATCAGTTCTGTACTTTCCACTGGAACATCCAGTGGTGGTACAGGGAGGCTGTGATGCCTTAGGTAGGAAACAAGACAGCATGACCTTGAATACATTAGTTTTATGTGGCTATAGTAAATTGGTGTAACTTTTTGATTATTATTTTTACTGGTGTGTGTAATTCAAAATCGGGTGAAGAAAATTCTTTGCTGATTAATGGGGGGATATGTACCATATTTTTCCATTTATGAAACACCCCCCTTTTCTAATTCAAAAATCAAGAAAACTTTGATGATTCAGCCTCTGGACTCAGAATGCTCAGACATTAGGAGTCCCTGTTGAATCTGAGCCTGCAGGCTCCACCTCCAACAAGGTGTGTTCCAATTGATTTGTACATCATCATTAGCTGATGTCAACAACAAGGTGTGTTCCAATTGGTTTGTACATCATCATTAGTTGATGTCAATTCTATAAGGCTCATGATCGGAGGAAGCTAAGTCTCCTGACTGTAAGAAGCTAAGCCTCGGGATTGAAGGAAGCCTGTTTACAGAGGCAAGGCACAGGACATTTTGTTCTCTCCATGTTCTCAGCTTATTTCTATGTAAAAGATGCCCCTTGATTTTTAGTGTAATGATTTTAGGAAAAAATAGCATCTTATAGATGCAAACATATGGTAATAAAAATTCTGCCCATGTACCATGATGAGGAGTCAGATAAAGAAGAGAAAACGAAGAACACTGATGAGAAGGATTAGTTGCAATGGTGAACATTGCAATCCTGAAGACGAACATTGATGAAAAGGATTAGTTGCAATGGTGAACATTGCAATGAAGATGACAGGATGTTTTTCCTTGTCGAAAGCTTGATCTTTTATTGTTTTATTAAAGTTTTTTAACTTGGAAATTAAACCTATGAAGTTTTTTGAGCCAGTTCAGTCTGTTTGTCTGAGATTAGTTAACTTCCTATGGTGTTCCAAGAAAGCAGAAAGATTTTCAGTGGTGAACATGTTAACTAGTGCATACAGTCCAAGTCAACTGATGGGGTTACAGTAACTGGCCAAAATCCAGTTGGATAAAAGGCAATTGTAAAGGCAGCTGTGCAGTGTTACCCCCCCTTCCTCTGGTTTCTCTTTGCATGGTCAGTCAAGCAACTGGCTGTGTGCCCGATTTTGCAGCCAGTGCGATGAGTCTGCAGAAGAGGAGAAATGCTTATGTGATCACTCTTAACTTAAATGCAAAAGCAAATAGGAGTCTGACGAGTGTTTGTGAATAGGTAGAGGGTAAGAGATGTGAGTGCTCACTGGAAGGACAGATCCTGAAGCTGAGGCTCCAATACTTTGGCCATCTCATGAGAAGACTCCCTGGAAAGACTCTGAATCACATTGGGAAAGTGTGAAGGCAGGAGGAGAAGGGGATGACAGAGGACGAGATGGTTGGGCAGTGTCATCGAAGCTACTGACATGAATTTGAGGGAGGCAGTGGAAGACAGGAGGGCCTGGCGTGCTCTGTTCCATGGGGTCACAAAGAGTCGAACACTACTTAACGACTAAACAAACAACAACAACAACAACAACAACAAAGAGAGACTACCTAAACCTAGAAGATAAAACTCTTAAGACATTCACAAAAGATGGCTTGGAAATCCTTTGAGAGGATTTCTGGCAAACACAGTGGCTGAAATCCTGCTCATAGTGTAACTTTCCACCCATTGCTTCCTCATAAACAAAGCACCCCTGGCTTGTTCTGTGTGTATTCACACCTTGAGAATTGCAGCAGGAGCATTTTGTTTAGCATGGAGGGATGGGTGGAACTTAATGCTTTGGCTTACAGAATTGCAGCAGGAGCATTTTGTTTAGCGTGGAGGGATGGGCGGAACTTAATGGCTTACACTACAAACTGGATTTCAGGCAATATATTCATGTTGTGTTTCATAAAGCAATATCGTTTTGTTTTTGATGCCTGATGATAAAGGAATTATGAAGAAACCTGGAGGGCCACAATTGTTCTTCTCCCAGTCTGACACTTTACATTATGTATATTAGTGCCTATTCTAGCATGTACATGTTGACATCACTTTCTGTTTCTGTCTTAACATAAAGCAGGCCATGCCTGAGATGTCCTCCTTTTCCAGGGCTTCCAGATTTCTATTTACATTTCAGATTTTGACATGCTGTTTGTGTTTCCAGAAAGCAACCAACCCCCTGGCAGATGGATTAGTGGAAGATGAATTCATTGTGAGTTTAAAAATGAGCACTTACCTAGTAGCTGTCATTGTTGGAAATCTGGCAAATATTACTAAAGAAACAAATAAGGTTCTGGTAAGTGTATATCCAGCTTTTCCTCATTTTTTAGAACACTCTTTAAGATGCAATTGCTGTGTAGGCAAGCTGTAGTTATATTCAGGAGTTCAGCCTGAAAGAATGTAGGGTTCAAATGTTGGTGGGAATGGGGAGTGCTCATGTAAACTGCACTACTGCATCCCTATTATTATGGAAGTCCTGCAGCCCTGCATTTTCAGCAAGAAATTCTGTATAGGTGCTGTAAATGCTGCATGCCTTCCAAAATGGATTGCTGTTAGAAGGTGGGACTTACCTACATCCCTGTGTCATACTACCCCTTAAGCCCTACATGATTTCACACTAAACACCTGAACAGAGCTTACTAGTAAATTATAGTTTCTTGGATGGAATCAACTGGAATCAGCCTTGATCTATAATTGCTTGTTTTGTCAGTGTCAGGTTGTTATAAATGATCTCAGTGTCCAGCTAAACCGTATAAATCATCCAGTCTGTATTTGTCAGTCTACAAGGAATTGAGGGTGTGGGAGATATTGTGAATGACTGGCTGAAGGAAGAGTAGGTGCTTCTTTGGTTTGTTTCTTTTGGCATCATCAGGCATCTGTTGCTGATCCAACTAAGACATTGTATGGGGCGGTATTAATAACTATAGGTAAAGAAAACATTTGTACTATGGCAGATTTTGTTTGATTTACATATTGTGTCATTGTAATAGGTGTCTGTCTATGCTGTTCCAGAAAAGTCAGGGCATACAGAATATGCTTTGGATACAGCACTGAAACTTATTGAGTTCTACCAGAAGTATTTCAATATTACATACCCTCTCCAAAAATTAGGTAAGAGATTGTACATCATTTCGTTATGGGACTGTATTGGGACCATGTTTTGTGTTACAGAAATAACCATATTTTTTGCTCCATAAGACGCACCGGACCTTAAGACGTACTTAATTTTTAGAGGAGGAACACAGGGAAAATATATTCTGAACCAAATAGTGTAATAAAATATTTAATAAACTATAACAGAATAACATTTGAACCATGTAAAGTGAACAGCAGTCAGCAGTGGCATTAATATAGACCGTTATCAGCCAGTGATAAGACCTATACCACTCTACCTATATTTTACATTTCCTTTCATCCACCTCCTCCCCATGCTTATAGAAATGTCTCAATGACAGATGAGATTGTTGGGCAACTATGCCCAGCTACAGCTCAAGCCTATATTAAGTTAGAAATGGTTTGTCTGATTTGGCACTGCATTGAGAGGTCCCTTTTGGTTGTGTGAAGGATAAATAGTGGAATCAAACTATTTAACCGCTGGTTTTCCTTATTTACTTTAGGTTATGCAAAAGAACAGCAACACAAAGCTTAACCCAATCCCCTTCACCAGCAGTAGCACATGCTCAGCATAAGACCAAATCTCCATTTTCTGACATAATTGAACGTTTATAGCATGAAAGGCACAACAGGGACGTGGTGGCGCTATGTGCTAAACCGCAGAAGCCTGTGCTGCAGGGTCAGAAGACCAAGCAGTCGTAAGATCGAATCCACGCGACGGAGTGAGCACCCGTCGCTTGTCCCAGCTCCCGCCAACGTAGTGGTTTGAAAGCATGCAAGTGCAAGTAGATAAATAGGAACCACCTTGGTGGGAAGGTAACAGCATTCCGTGTCTAAGTTGCACTAGCCATGTGACCATGGAAGATTGTCTTTGGACAAAACGCTGGCTCTACAGCCTGGAAACGGGGATGAGCACCGCCCCCTAGAGTCGAACACGACTGGACAAAAATTGTCAAGGGGAACCTTTACCTTTACCTTTAAGGCACAACAGGTTAGGCCAGACAAAGCCATGAACAATGTTCTTGATGAGCCAAAAAACAAAAAACAGCACAGTTTAACCCAAAACAAGCAGCTTTTAAAGCAAGTACCCCTATGCACGTTTCTACACAAGCAGGTTTCAGCTCAAACGGAGCACCTTTTCACCCAAGCACAGTTTAACCCAAAACAAGCAGCTTTTAAAGCAAGTACCCCTATGCACGTTTCTACACAAGCAGGTTTCAGCTCAAACGGAGCACCTTTTCACCCAAGCACAGTTTAACCCAAAACAAGCAGCTTTTAAAGCAAGTACCCCTATGCACGTTTCTACACAAGCAGGTTTCAGCTCAAACGGAGCACCTTTTCACCCAAGCACAGTTTAACCCAAAACAAGCAGCTTTTAAAGCAAGTACCCCTATGCACGTTTCTACACAAGCAGGTTTCAGCTCAAACGGAGCACCTTTTCACCCAAGCACAGTTTAACCCAAAACAAGCAGCTTTTAAAGCAAGTACCCCTATGCACGTTTCTACACAAGCAGGTTTCAGCTCAAACGGAGCACCTTTTCACCCAAGCACAGTTTAAGCCAAAACAATCAGCTTTTAAACTACATTTTACATTTTAAAACGACAATACCAGGCGGTCCCAGGTCTCTCTCCCAGCAATCTAACTGCTTGGACTAGCAAGGAAGCAGACAAGCAGCCTCTTCACTAACTGAAAGTTTGAATTTCCCCGCTTTCCCTGCATATTAGGTATGCTAATATCTGTGCACTGGAGGATTGTGGGAGGAACATTCCAGCCCACCTGATGGGGCCCCTGTGGGGCACCCCAAAACACTGAGTAGGTCTCTTGGCCTCTTTCAGGACCGGGGCTTTTCAGCCCTGCTCTGATCAGGAGGTACTGCCGGGGGGTCACCATGCCTTTGGGGGATAGGGCACAGAAAGGGGAAGAATTTTCAGGGGCCATTGCAACTCATACCTGGCAGGGAACATACCATTATTGTAGAAGTGGTTTTCTCAGGGTAAGGCTCATCTATTGCACTCTGGATGTGCTGACCCCTGTGATTTCCCCAAATGTGGGAAAATCAACTGCCTAAGTAGGGGACTGTGTGGTTTCCCCTGGTTTTTCTAGAATTACTTTTTCCCCCTTTGGTCCTTGGCTGTTTTCATTGCCTGCTGCCATAGGCCTATTAGCCTTGCTGGTTTTCCAGGTGGGCTGCAAGAAGCAGATCCTGGAAAGCCAGCAGTGCAGAATGGTGAGGTCCAAACAGCAAGCAGTTTTTGGTGCCAGTTGAGAGGCCTCCCAGCATGGCAGTGGGAGGCTTCTGGGTGGTGGTGGCTGAACCCTTTTTTGCTGTATTCGCTCCATAAGACGCACATATTTCCCCCCCACTTTTTTGGGGGGGAAAGTGTGTCTTATGGAGCAAAAATACGGTACATCGAATCAGAGCATTTTAAATACGTTCGAAGAGGGATATGTTTTATGCAACACTTGACTAATTTTCTTTTATACGTTGTCCAGCAGTCAGATTTAAAACATTTAAATACATGCTGTATTGCAGGACTCCATGGCATATAACAAAGCCATATGAAACCATTTGAAAACATAAGATCTTTAACACTGTTTACAATTAAACTGTTTAAAATACAAAATTAAAACCCTAAAAACTGTGCAGGCTACAATCCTCAACCCCCAAATGATCTGATAAGTATGCATGTTTTGACTTGATGTTGAAACAATGCCAGTGTTCTAAGGGGAAGGCATCCCACAGTCAGAGTGCTACAGCCAAGTAAGCCCTCCCCCATGTCTTCACATAATGAATTGTTCTCAATGGTAGGACATGGAGGAGGGCTTCCCAAGTAGATCTTAGTGATAGCACAGGTTTATATAGGGAGAATCTGTGGACCGCAGTGGCTTTGCCTTCTTTATTTTTATTTTGTGAATACATTTTATATCTAGAAGGCTATTAGCAATACAGGGAATCTGTCAGTTTCACTGATGAAATGTTTAAACACCACAATTTTTCTGTTACATATATAAAGTAATTTGTTAATTTTGTTAAATTCTTCAAAAAACAAACAAACAAACAAAGAAACCAGACTGTAATACAACTTTCCCCATTAGGAAATTAGAGGAATATGGACTGCCAACTTTCATCATAGGAATTGAAGATGAGGCACCTCTCTGTGAGAAGAAGAGATATTGGTTTTATGTTAATAAGACTATACAGTCTTGAACTCTCCCTTTTTAGTAACTTGGGTGTTAACATGCTGCATGTTCCCAGTTCAAGTGAAGGCTGAGAGGACATTGAGTAGTGATATAAATTGGTTCACTCATTGAAGGACCTTTGAACCATGTCAATAGAACATCTGGACAGATTGGTCCCAGTGACTTACATTTAAACAATTATTTTTCAAGTTTTTCTAGCTAGCATGGAAGAGTCAACATATAAGAACAATCGCTTAGAGAGGGGTCCCCAACCGCCAGTTGGTGGCCGAGTGCTGGTCCGTGGCCATGGCAGAACCAGGCTGCAGAGACAGATATCTCTCTTGCCCCCGCATGCACTCCCCCCATGCACCCCACCCGCATGCATTGGTGCCCCGCCCACCCATGAATGTGTCCCGCCCATCCACGCATGCACGAGAGCGCGCCCGGCCCATCTGTGAGCACACTCTGCCCATCCGTGCATACGCGCAAGCGCCCCCCGCCCATCTGTGCAGGTGCGGCCTGCCCCCCCAACTGGTCTGTGGTTCAGAAAAGGTTGGGGACCACTGGCCTAGAGAATAGCAGATGTTGTTGCAGAGCTAAGTATCTGGCTGAGGAACAAGATGTTGGGACTTTTATTTCCCACGGTGCATCCCATGAGAACAACCAGCCTGTATAGCCTTGAGCAAGCTGCATAGTCCCCAGGCGCCTCCAGAAGAAAGGAAGGGTAAACTAATTCTAAATACTGTATACCTAATAATAATTAGTTTTATCTAAATCAAAATGTTTATAATTGCTTTGACAGAGAGAGAGAGAGAGAGAGAAATGAATTAGATCAGCGGTCCCCAACCTTTTTTGGACCGTGGACCGGCTGAGCCTCTGAGGAAGGTGGGGCAGCCCCCCGTGCAAGGTGGTGGGGGAGCACGCGTGCGCCAGCACCAGCTGAGCACTCCCCCAACCCTTTGCACATACACAGGAGCACTTGCATGCCTGCCCATGCGCCCGCCCACCCATTCACTCAGGCCCATGCATGAAGGGGTGGGGGAGCGTTCATGCCGGTGCTGGCACACGCGTGTGTGCACAAAGCTGTGGGAAGGGGAGTGTGTCTTTGCGGCATGGTCCGGCTCAGGCCATGGACTGGCACTGGGCCACGGACTGGGGGTTGTCGACCTCTGAATTAGATGAGTAAAATGCCACTTCGTAAACCAAGCCTTGCTAAATATGGGAAGAACAACTTCAAATAATGTTTTTGAAAAAATATTTAGGAAAATTAATCAAAAGACTTTTAAACTAGATTGGGAGAGATGGTACATATATTTCTGTTATGGGTGGGATATGGTAGACCAGTGGTCCCCAACCTTTTTCCAACCGTGAACTGGTTGGGGGTGTGTGGCGCAGCTGCAGGGGGGCTGAGCTCTCTCATGTGCATGCGCTCCCCCCGCTCACATACATGTACACAAGTGTGCTCATGGGTGGAACGTGCTCGTGTGCATGTGCTCAATGGCGCTTGCGGGGGGGTACTGTGCGTGCCTATGCACAATGTGAGTGCAGGGCGCAACATGCTCGTGCACATGTGCGCGACAGTGCTCACGGGTCCTGGACAGGTTGCAGACCGCTACTGGTTACGGACCGGGGGTTGGGAACCTCTGTGGTAGACAACAAACTTTAAGAATGGATGAAAAATTTATAAATAATGAATGAACAATATTGATACTTGTATGGTTGTACGACTACTTCATACAACATGAAGATATTTTATTTATTTATTTATTTATTTATTTATTTATTTATTTATTTATTTATTTCATTTCATTTCTATCCTGCCTATCTGGTCAGATTCATATTGTGCATATGATTTAAAAAAATTCAATAAAAAAACTTTGACTTTTTAAACATCATAGAAAAACATTTAAAAATCAGCAAACATGAGGAAGGGGGGAAAAAAACAGAAAACGTTCTTCTTGTGAAGCAGGGCCATAGAAACATTTGTCTTGCGAGTCATCAACCCCATTGCCAAAACCATTTGTTTTGTGAGTTTTTTGTCCTATGAGGCATTTGTCTTTTGAGGCACCTCTGTATTTATCCCATTGGTGAAGAACTTGCAAAGGAGGATGTGCAACAACTGATGCAGCCAAATATAAAACAAGACTAAAATAATTAATGACCTGGAGAAAAATAAATAATGGTTTATCTTAAACCACAAATATTAAACCAGAAGGAGTCATTAAACCAAATGCCAGTGTGGTGGAGTGGGACGTATACTGGATTGTGTGTTGAAAACCCCAAGTTCCAGTCTCCACTGAGATGTTAAACCCACCAAGGTAACTGTGAGACAGTCACTGTATTTCAGGCTGCCTTACTGCAAGCCCCACGTAGAGCGCATTACAGTGGTCTAATCTTGAGATTACAAGCGCATGTACCAAAGTAGTGAGAGCCCCCACGTCAAGGTAGGGTCGCAGCTGGGCTATCCGCCTAAGATGGAAAAATGCGTCACGGACCACAGACGCCACCTGAGTTTCCATAGTGAGCGCCGGGTCCAGATGAATCCCCAAGCTGCGAACCCCATCGCTGGCAGGCAGGGTCACAACCCCCAAAATGAGGGAATTTCCCAAATCCCCAGCTGTGGGAGCGCCCACCCTCAGTACCTCCGTCTTGTCCGGGTTCAGCCTCAGCCCGTTCTCCTGCATCCATTCCCGTACGGTCTCCAGGCAACGCCGAAGGGACAGAACGGCATCTCCTGCAGTTGGAAAAAAGGAGATGTAGAGCTGTGTGTCATCCGCATATTGATGGCACAGAGCTCCACACCCCCTGATCGCCCCCCCCAGCGGCCTCATATAGATGTTAAACAGCATTGGGGAGATGATCGACCCCTGTGGGACCCCACAATTGAGGCTCCACGGGGCCGAGACATCCTCCCCAAGCTGTACTCTCTGGGGACAGTCCTCCAAGAAGGAACGGAGCCAGGCAAATGCCTGGCCACCTATTCCCAACTCGGTGAGCCTCCCCAGGAGGATACCATGGTCAATGGTATCGAAGGCCGCTGAGATATCGAGGAGGACCAGCAGAGACACTTTGCCCCTGTCGGCCTCCCTCAATAGATCATCACACAGGGCAACCAATGCCGTTTCTGTTCCATGGCGCGGCCTGAAGATCCACACAGTCTTCTTCCATGTATTGTTGAATGTATCTACATGTTATATGAAGAGTACAATTGAATGCATGAATCACAACTTCATTTGGGTTCTCTCCAGTGTACACACATGTTCTTAGAAACACTATACATGCACATATGATGTATGTACGTATAATCTAGCATGGGCAGGACTTTTACATAATAGTGCAGTGGGCAAAATATGTAAAAAAACTAGGTTATGGATACATATATATATTACAATTTTTAAAATAAATGCTTGCACAGAAGTAGGAGCTAATCACTTGCAGATGCAATTGTTCAACTGTCCCCCACTGTTTTATTCAAGAGGGTGGTGTGTGTTTCTTTTACTAATTGAGTTTTAAAGGCTTTTTATGAAAGATGTGGAGATTGATGGGGGAGGTTTGTGAGACTGATGTACGTTATTTGAAAGTGGAACCATTATGATTGACACAGAACAAGAACGTGCCGAGTGAGCTGAAAATCTAGTGTATGTGAACGATGTGTTCAGTAAGTTTATTGATACTTCATATGCTGGTGCTACTAGCTTATTTTAAGTAATGATTCTTGTTCTTCCTACAGATATGGTAGCTCTTCCTGACTTTCAGTCTGCAGCTATGGAAAACTGGGGATTGATCACTTTTCAAGAAGCCACACTCCTTCATGATAACAAAACATCTTCAGCAATGGATAAAAAAAAAGTAACAAGAGTGATAGCTCATGAGCTGGCACACCAGGTGTGAAATGTCTCCAATCTTATATGTGGTGCAAGATTTTTGCTTTTTAAAATCACTGCAAATTGATTCATGTTGCTTACTCAGAAGCATGCTTTTTGCCATTTTCTTGTTCTTTTCATGTCATAATTTTATACAAATAAATTTTGATGCACCTTTAAGCTAGAGGTGGCCTCACACATGAAAATATATATACATACATACAGAGAGTGCATCTCTAATAGGAGCAGTATGATATAGAAACAATACTTTTCTAATAGGCTGAACTGGTCATATTTGACTCATGTTGTAAATCTGTATGGCAAATGAAAACAGAAAATCTGAAGAAAAAAAGTTCATCCTAGATCAAGAAAGGTTAATTTTGACAAAATACTGTATCTCTTCTACAGTGACCAATAGAAAAAGATGACAGGATAGGTTAGGTTGCAGGGATGCATGAACCACATATATTCACAAGCTGCACATGTCAAGTTGTGTTAATGTGAAATTTTTGTACATATAGTCACAGCTAGACATTTGAGGTAAATATGCAGCTAGGCCAATTTGCACCAGCAATATAATTCTGCAGACAAGATGTTCCTTAATATGTTGTCAGACATCAGTCTTCAGTAACTTATCAGCAAAGACTCAAATGTAAACATCTGTGTGGTTTTGCTGGGTGGGGGAGTGAAAAATACTTGAGACTGCATGAGCAGTTCAGGGACTGTTTCCTGTTGTTATGATAGATAGTTTCCAGTTAAGAAATATTGTCTCCAATATAGATTTTTAAGCACTTTTTGAAGTATTTTTTAAACACTCTAGTGTTGCATCTTTTGACATGGTATTTAATAATGTGAATATGTCTGTGCTTTGTATTCTCAGTGGTTTGGCAATCTAGTAACTATGAAATGGTGGAGTGACTGGTGGCTGAATGAAGGGTTTGCCACTTTCATGGAAAACTTCGCCATGAAGCAGATCTTTTCAGATTTATATACTGTAAGTGTCTTGATGGGGATACATGTCCAAATGTGTATGAGAAAATCTTTTAATTTGGCCAGTATTTTAGTTTAGTCTCAGAACCATTTTTTGTTACATGCTGTCAAGTTTTTTCCAAGATATGATGATCTTGTGAAATAATAACCTCTGAAGCTATATGGTTATGTTTTTATTTAGGTTGCTTTCTTTGTTTTCAAAAATAAACTGGTCTGTATCTCTGGAACAGTGAAACAATGAGCCACATGTAGTTTTACCTAGTCTTACACTGTTACCTGTGATCCTCTTCTCTCCATAGTAAAATATTGCTCCTTGCTTTTATGATCATTTCCATTTATAATCTATTCTCCTAAACTGGAGCGAGTGATCTCAGATGGGCCATTTATCAGATTTCCTCACACTTTGAGCAGCCATCCTCCCAAAAGGATGGGCTTACTGGAAAGAAGCATGTCAAAAAGGACTATTTTGCATATTTATTTTTTAAACATTTATTTTCATACAATGTTGTTGCTACGGTAGGTTTTCATTAACTGAAAACCAGGTTTAACTTTTTTAAAAAGCGGGGCAGAAGTGCTGGGGAGGCCCTCAAACCAGGAGAAAAGTACTCTCTCCATCTCCAAGAAGGCAGAAGGGAATGTTTGGAGCAAATTACTTTTTCAGTTGGGAGGAGAGTCTGAGTGAACCTGGAGTCCTTATGTGTTCTCGTTATCTTGCCCACCCCATGCTACATCTGCTAACAAAGACGTTCCTGATCAAGCATAGTGTAAACCCCTGAAATTCCCATATACTCCATGACTTGCATCAGTCACTAGATCTATGCTTTGTGCACACAAAGCTAATAAAATAAAATAACTTGCTATTTACAGATAGGAAATCTCTTCCAAATGGACAAAGATTATATATTTTGTCCTAAGGCATAGAAGATGTGTGAGAGCTAGGAAAACAAGTGCTGCTAATTTATATTACCGTATAATGATGAATTCTGAACTAAGGCAGTTATCAGGCCCCCATATTCATACCCTTTAGGAGAGTTCAAAACACAAACAGCTGTGTTAACCTATATCAACAAACCAGTTCTATCAGTCTTCCTGTCTATCAAGAGCCAGTCTTTTGTAAAGCTAATGCATCTAAATTTTTCATTTAGTACCAGATCTTTCCCCAGATATTTGCATTAGAACAGAGATAACACTTATCAACTATACATTGCTACTAGAGTTGTGCATTTCCTCCCACAGCTGCTAGGAGAATTGTAGCTGAACTCAGAGGGAATGAAGAAGTCTGGGGTTCTAGATAGTGTCATCATTTGGATAGTAAAATTAGGCCTGGTTCTGCAACCCTGCAAACCCTAACTCTGGGACAGTGATATCTGCCAGATGGGAGATCTTGCCATTTAGGTGAGGTTATGACTTTCAAAGTCTTCCAGCACTTACTGAAAATATGCAGTTAGGACAAAGGGGTTTGCATTGTAAACTTTAAAAAAAGAACCCTTAAAAACACGGATTACTCTGTCCAGATGTTTTTGTAATTGCTGATGCGATGTCTAGCAGAATCAAACTCATTTAACTTTGTTAAAAAGCTATAAGACTATAGATAGGGAACTCAGGTTGAGGTCTTCTTTTTGCACATATATACCACCAATGAATGGCTCATGTCTCTGCAAGCAGCATGCATGTTATTGTGTGGGTGAGATTATTAATATTTGTATTGAAGTCAGAACCTCAAGAAGGAAAATGCACATGCATTGCTGACGGAGGAAGACGAACATTTTACCACTTGGTGGTGCCAGATTGCTTTATTAAATACAACAATTCTCTTTCCATATAAATGAGTGAAAAAAGGTATCAACTTGAATTACAGAACTGACTGCCTCCTTCCTCCTCTTATTGCCCCTCAGTATCTTCTGGAATGTGTAGTCACCCTGAGCTGACCTTGGACAGTGTGTCAGTGAGTCTCAGCATTCAGTGTTTATGCCTATGCAAAATACATTCAAGAGTAGAGACTAGAGATGGGGGATTTGTCTTTGTCTATGAAGACTGGTGGGTAGGGGTGCGGGCAGCAGCGGGGCGCATCCGCACGCATGTCTGCACATACACGCACATGCTCCTGTTCCTTCGGCCCTCAAAAATGTGTAAAATATCCAATCTGGCCTTCAAGGTCCAAAGTTTGGAGCCCCCTGCTCTCAAGGATGGTGGCCAGAGTAAAGTCTAGCTTTAACAGGCAGGACACTTAACCTGCCTATGATAACACAAGCCTTATTGTGTTGAACTATCCTGTGGGGGACGGAGATGGGGACAGCACTTCTAGTTGCCTGGAAGCAATTTGTAACTTGTCAGAAGTGAACACATAATTCCTGTAAAATATTTAGTAATACGCTTATTCTTAAAAACTTTTGGCCACAGTGTTGTATCATGTTTATGAGAATGAAACTATGCTGCATCCAGAAGACATACATACTGATAGCTTTAGAGCCCCCTCCCCAATCTTCTGTGTTTTCTGGTACAATGTGTAGAATGTTGGCCTTGGGATTTTGCTTATTTGCGTGGGTACTATGGCAGGGTTTATCCTTTTAGGGTAAATACAGACGTTCTTCCAAGGTGATTGCAAAAATTGCTAAATCTTACCATAGTGTATTTATTAAGATACTGTGTAAGAAACTGGAATAGTAATACATAATTTGCTAATTATTAATATTCCACTTTCAGAAATGCTACATGCCTCTTTTATTCTGCACATTCTATTACCTACATGCTGCACATTGTCAGGCTTAAATTGCCAAAAGGCCAGCCACATGACTAAGTAAATATCTAATTCTTTAAAAAAAAAACCTCTTGTTTATGAATGTGGGATATTATAATTCAGTATCCACAATTCAGAATGCCAGGAAATGGCCCAATATTGTTGCACAATATTGTGCCTGCGTTGCCAGTAGGAACCAAGCTTTACACAGCAAAGGTTAGCCTTTGCTAACACCAATGGCAGCAGTCAAGGTGCTCTACTGTCTTGAGCTCGCTACTAGAGATGGGTATGAATCAGAAAAAATGTGATTCATTTTGATTCGTTATTTGTCTAGGCTGATGAATCACAGATGTACATTTTTTTCGGATGAATTGATGAATCATGGTTGTTGTGGGATTTTAGGGCTGTTTGGCCGTGTTCTGGAGGTTGACAAATCAATTTGTCAATTCATTTTGTCTTAAAAACTCTATTAAAAATCTGCCCAAGAACCTAGAGATATCAAATTTGCAGAGAAGTTTCCCCTGGGTCTCCTCTAGAAGCCCTGCAAGTTTGATGAAGATAGGGTTTCAGACAGCTGAATTACACGCCCACATGGGGGGCCCCCTGGAAAGTTCACCCCAAGCACCCATAGACACTGAAATCACAGAGAAGCTTCTACTGAATCTCCTCTACAGTCTCTCTAAATTTGGTGAAGATTGGGTTTCAGACACCCAAGTTATACCACCCACGAAATGGGTTCTCCCAGAAAAGTGCCATTTATCATATGGTTTGGGGAAACCAAACTTGGAAGGATTGTATAGGAGAGTGAGTAGAAGCTTCTCTGTGATTTTGGTGTCTCAAGGTGCCCGGGGGGGGATTTCCTCTTTATGGATGTATAACACAGACATCTGAAACCCCATCTTCACTGAACATGGTGTATCTAGGTGCCTGGGGGTGGGGGCGTTTTATAACCAAATGAATTGACAAATTAAAAATCATGAAGAATTTGTTGATTGATATTCATTGGGGGCATTGATTTGTATGAATATGAATCAGTTAATTAGCATTTTTGAACAGATTTGGTGATGTACTTTTTTTAAATATATGCCCCTCTCTACTCACTACCATTCATAAAGTGACACCATACAAGAGAAAATCCCAGAAGCTGACTCTTTTTTTTAAATCAGTTAACCACTTCTAACCCAAACACAAAGAAATTGTCAGGGCTGTTTTTCAAATGTAAATGGGGAGTTGCTGAAAAGAACCTACCACGCACTATAATATGGAAAGGAGTATTCTTTGAATTTTCCCACTATTTATTGATTGGTGATTATTCCTCCGTTGGTCATCATTAAGAAGTATCCATATATATATTCACCCTGTTAAACTTACGCACCAGAATGCACAAATGGTGAGCCTCTACTTTTGTTAATCTAGATTTATCCCTTTCTTCAGGATGACTCTTTTCTAGATCTACGATTTAGGATCATGAACAAAGATTTCATGAATTCATCTCATGCTGTTTCCCTTGCTGTCGAGTCATCAGAAGAAATTGAAGAAATGTTTGATGCAATCTCCTATGTCAAGGTAACTTTAAAAGTGCTGGCAAATGTGCTTTTAACCAGTATAAATGCAGAGTTCACACAAATATGTTTTAAATCACAGTTGTAGTGTGGCCAGCCACAGGTCAGGAGCTAAAAGGGAAATAAATGTTTCTAGACTGGGGTAAGAGAGATGTGGCGAGAGACTGCTATAATCAGAAACATATATACCCATGTGGGTATTTTTTTTAAATCTAGTTTTAGCAAAAATGCATGTGCTATTCTGCATTCTCATCAAGATGTCTGGTGCAGGCACAGATCATAATTGAATGCAAAACTAAACAAAAATGTAAGGTTGGGAGAACACATGACACAGGGGTCTTGTGATTTCCTCCGTTTCCTCTGAGAGTTAGAAACCTTTGGTTTGGGTGGAAGTGCAATATAAGTGTGCTTTTCTAACCCAAAATTATTTTTGATCTTAATAGTGGGTTAGTGAAAATAATGTTCTATCATCACCATATTCTTCTTTTCATTACTTTTCCATCAGAGGCTGTATGTCGTAATGAGAATTTTTATTTTGGACATGGCAGCTCCAAACAATGTTGCTGTGTTATATCTAAACCAGTCTCCAGGATTAGCACTCACCACAATTTTAAAGTTGCTCTGAATCTTTTACAGATAGCCATGATTAATGTAAAGTTGTGGTACATGCTGGTCAACTGAAAAATAAAATAAAATGGAATGAATGTCTAAGATGGTGGGGCACTCTTGATTTTTAGCTGTGATTAAAAGAGTGGACAATGTTATAACAACTATAATTTATAAGTGTTTAGATAGAACTCAGATTTCTCACTTCCTCTTTTTTTTCATGAATATCCATCACAAACCTTTGTTCTATAAACTACTCAACTGATTTCCCCCTTTTATATATTACGATTAACTGTTTTGACTGTAAGAAGCTATTTAAAATTACTTTTCATACCAGTACAGCAATTTGGCTGTGTTTGCTTTAAGCCCAAGGTATAAATGTTGATGCTTTCTACAAGTGCACTTGTAAATAAAATAGTTCTTATCCACCCATGAATATTTCTAAGGACAGAAAGAGGGAAAATGGTATCTGAACAGATTGTGGCGATTCAGATTCCCTTATGAATGTGTATAAAATAGATTTATGTGAACTATTTTTTTCCTTTTGCTATTTCCAATCCATTATAATCTGTAGCTGGACCACATCTTGTTCAGATTAAAGGAAAGCTAAGAGCAGCTTTTTACCTTCACATCTGTTAGCATGACTAGAGGTGAAGTTTCCTGCATAGCCCAGAGCTGTCTAGATGAGAGGGAGGGGGTTGATAATACAGGGACATACTATCCTTCTGACTCCTTAGCTGCGTTATCTTCAACTGTCCCAGCTGTTTGCGATCTCCAGGTCCTGTCCAGTTTTGCAGATATCTGGAAACAACAAAAAACACATAGAAAAGCATAATGGAGGCTGTTTTATATTTCTTTCTGTGGCAGCTGCTGCTTTATGGCAACCCGTTTTTGTACCAGAACTAATCACATGGGCTTCCTCAGGATCGCTGCAGTTGTCCTTGCCCATGGGGTGGAATGAATAAGGGTTGGAAAGTATTCCAACTTGCATAGGATCATATTTCCATGCTCCATTGGCTCCTTCATATGCATCAACAGTGAAAGCTATGCGTGTGATAGAGTGGTGGCACAAACTGGCATACTAGTAAATAGAAAAAGTGTGATCCATCCTTAGAAGCAATTGAAGGAAATACTCTAAAATTAGTCCTCAGCCCCCTTTTTATACTATCTTTGCCTCTCATGAAGACTTCTGGAAAACTCTTCATGAGACTTCTCAAAAACATAACTTCTTTGTAATTTTTAATGATTCAGTAAAGATATTGCCCAGTGCAGAATTTTGAAACTTGTCAGTAGTCTCTTGTCAGTTGAAGCAGAAAGATTTTGGCAGTAAACCTCATCACAAAATTTTACATTAGCAACACAGAATCACCCTTACTTCCTTTTAAGTTTCCATCCCTGTACGAAACAGGTGTAGAATATACCTACCCGGGTATTATATGTGGGCCTTCTTTCAGATATTTTTTTCACACACAATTAATATAAAATATTTTTGAGAATGCTTGGTAGTTGACAGATATTTAGAGATATGTTTGATTCAAACATACATTATTCCAGAACCTTCTGGCATCTTTTTCCATTCATTTGTGTATTCACAGTGCTGTTCTGTAAAGGATAGCTTAATACAAAACTCATAAATCTAAATTTACCAGAGTATTTGTTTTGTACAACAGTGGTCAGTATCCTGTTACATAACTCCCTGTGCTATGGGAATGTCAGTGGCAGCAACAACAGGAGCAGAGTTGCTCTTTTTATTTAGGGGTGCACATAACTTTTTCTCATTGCACATGGATTGTGCACACACAAAATTGACAAACGGACATTAATCAACAGCATCTGCTGTTGATGGTGAGATTGTTCCTGTCACGCAGGTGGAGCTGCAAGAGATACTGCCTGTTGTGATAAGATACTTTCATGTTTCATTTACTCAAATGGTAAACCCTATAGATTTCAGTTCTAGGATTATCAGTCTGTGGTAAGATCAGAAAGTTTGTACAGATCCATTCTTCTCTCCACCACATTTTTGCATAAATAAATCACTTGCTCAATATGGGTGTTACATTCCTCAAATAATGCATTCTACTGGCTAAACCTGTTCTCCATAAAAGTGTCCCTTTAAAATAGGCATTTCTGAACAACACACTTGCATGGTCTTCATCAAATTGAAATTGGATCAATGGCAACACATTTTGTTTTGTTTTGTGTTAATGATCTGTGCTATGCCTTGAGTCTTGCCACTTTGGCGAAAGGTGGCATAAAAATGCAATGAAGAAAATTTAAAAATATATTTTTTCTTCCAACAGGGAGCTTCTCTCTTGCTGATGTTGCAGAACTTTCTTCATAATGATGTCTTCCAAGCTGGCATTCAAATCTATTTGCACGACCACATCTATGGGTCCACCTGCAGTGATGATCTATGGGATAGCATGAATCAGGTAAATCTTTTCAACAAAGGGAGCAGAACTAATTAAATATTGATTTTATTTATCTTATGTACCACATGTTTCATTTTCTAAAATAGACTGATCCTATTAGTTCCACTGCAATTGACATGACATCATAGTAATCTCATATCTGTTATTTTATTTGCACGTTACCCAATAACTGGTAACATGAATGGTTAACGTAACATTTGATACTAGAAAGATATGTATAAGCAAGAAAAAATTAAATGTTTTTTAAAATCAAAGCAGAGAGAGCTTCTGTGTAAATAAAAATGAATCCGCTTGTGAAAAACAAAATATTAATATAGTGCAGTTAAAGACATTGAAAATTCTTAACACTAACATTCCAAGAAAGTGAAAAGATCTTTACCTGGTGTTGGAAAGCTCACCAAGTGGGTGCCAAGTGGGCCCTTTTGGGGAGGGCATTGTATAAATTGGGTCCTGCCCACAGCCCCTCATTTAACAACATACGTCTAAAGAAGGGCTTCTGAACATGATCTTAATTACTAAGTGCACATGAAAGGAAGTAGTTTTTCACATTGTTTAGTATCATGCCATCTTGGTTGTAAAGATAAAAAGGTTTGATAATGTGATTATATTGGCTAGTCCTGTTGCTGGTGGATTTTAGAACTAGTTATGATTTTCTGAGTGTTTTTAAAGGCAACTTCACCATATGATATCCTGTACTGCAGTAATTCAGATGGGAGTTTTCCAGTGCATGGTTAATAGTATCAAGATTTTCTCTGTCCCAGCAAGGCTAAAACGGATATGTGAGCTTAATCACATAAAAGACACTCCACGCTAATGAGACCACTTGCACCTTTGGGGAGAGTGCTAGTTTGGAGAGCACACAGTCCAAGTGTGGACCTCATCCTTAGGGAGAGGGAGTGCATCTTAGCTCCATTGTTGTTGTCAATTCAATTTATACCAAATTGCTTCTCAGGCTCTGCTTGTAAGGAAGTTGTGATTATGTCAACTACCCAGGCAATGTCCATATTCTATGGCACCAACCCCCAAAATCCCCCAGAGTACTTCTCTCTCCATCCGTCAAGCCATGTTTTCAAGAATGGATCATCTTAACAGGTCTCCCACCCTTGAATCTGTGTAAGGCTGCTGTAAATCTAACCCTCAGTGGGATTGTTCTGACCATGATAAGAGTATAGATATTAAATTTTCCTTGTTTTAGATTACCATCCCCGTCTGTCAATAATACAAAATTAAGACATCTTGCTGTATGTATTGGAGTGCTGACATGCTGGGACAGCCCCATTTCTGTTATGGTAGTCATAAAGGCCTGGACTGCCTTTGATCTGATGAGCTCAGCAGAGATGTTAAGGTTAGAACAGTCATCTGGGAATCTTCACCACCGAATTCAAGTCCATCTTAGTTGGCTCAGCTATGGAAAGTAATGTGATGTGGCCTTGGCAGCATACCAACAACATTCCCTGTCTGTCCTGGTCACTCAACATAGATAAAAATGCTAGACATTAGTCTTTAAGATGGGCAGGAAACTTGGAAGAAGATGTAATTAGACCACAGTACACACAATAAACATCCCCAAGAAAGGAGATACAGTGGTGCCTTGCTTAGCGATTGCCTCGTTTAACGATGTATTCGCTTAGCGATGAGGTTTTTGGAGCGATTTTGCGCTCCGTTTAACAATGTTTCCTATGGGGAAAATTTGCATAGCGATGTTTGGGACCTTGCCTCGCTGAGCGATGACAGTTTTAGGTCCCCTGTCTTGCTTAGCAATGTTCCGTTTTCACTATTTTAAAAGTGTCTTAAAAGGTTCAAATGTTTTAAATGATTGGGATCGTTAGTGCACCTTCTAAATCCTTTGCAAACTTAATTTGGCTTTGTTCTGACTCTTCGTTAATTTTTGGTGAATTTCCCCCCCCATTGGAAAGCATTGAACTGTCAGTTTGACAGCTGTCAAACCTGCAGTTCAGTGCTTTCCAATGGGGGGGGGAATTTACCAAAAATTAACGAAGACTCAGAAACTGTTTTAAATGCTTGGATTCATTAGAGCACCTTGTAAAAAGTGTGCAAACTTAATTTGGCTTTGTTCTGACTCTTCGTTAATTTTTGGTGAATTTTTTTCTCCCCCGTTGGAAAGCATTGAACTGCAGGTTCACAAAGTGCCTTGCACCAGTTGCTGCACATCTCTGACTACACGGCATAACCGTTTCCCCCTATATCTACAATTGGCTGATTGCATCGAACTCTTACGAAGGCGCCTTAAGAAACATTCGTTTTGCTCTCTCTGCGCTAGCGGACCTTGGGTTCAAGGCCAATTTCACCAAATCTCAACTACAGCCCTCTCAAACTGTAGATTATATGGGAGCCTGCCTCGACTCATCTTGGGCCAGGGCCTTTCTGCTCCAGGAGCGAATAACCAAACTAAAATCTGCAATAAGGCCTTTTTCTGCCCTCACTCCGGTCTCAGCTCATTGAGCTCAGCATCTTCTCGGCCTCATGGCCTCGACTATATCAATTATCCAATATGCCAGGGTCAAAATGAGATCCCTTCAAGCCTGATATCTTTCCCTATTCAACCCAATGATCGACACACACACACACACACCTCTAAACTTTCGGCAGTTTCCAGGGAATTATCTCACCAACTTGCCCAATGGACCTTCCTCCCACATCTCACAGTCAGTCGTCCATTCGCTCCTCTCCAGCTCATGATTCAGGTCACCACTGTAGCCAGCCCCATGGGATGGGGTGCTCATTGTCAAGGCCACAGAATCCATGCCCTGTGGACAAAAAGAGACCAAACCTTACATATGAACCATCTTGAGCTGCTTGCCATTATCAAGACCTTTCATGCTCCCATCCTCTCATTGTCGGTCGGGCCGTTCAGTTGGCCACGGACAATATGACCAGGCTATACCATGTAAACAAGCAGGGAGGTACACACTCCTTCTCTCTTCTATATCTCACAATTCACCTCTGGAAGTGGTGTTACACCCATCACGTTTTTCCTGTTGCGGTCCATGTTGCCGCTCATGACAACTTCATAGCAGACTACCTCAGCCACTTCACTACTCAAACATATGAATGGGTCTTAGATGACACCGTTTTTGCCCAGATCTCCAAACATTGAGATGCTCCTAATGTTTTTGCCATACAAGAAAATGCGAAATGCATCCAGTACTGTTCCAGAGAAAATTGGTGGAAGAGAAATCAATAATCTAATATATGCAGATGGCACTATTTTACTAGCAGATGACTTGAAATTACTTCCAGTGAAAGAGAAAGAAGGTAGTATCAAAGCATGACAGCAGCTGAACATTAAGACAAAAATCATGACTACTTTAATGTTGACAATGAAGAAATAGAAAAAATATTTTGTATACCTTGGTTCAATCATTAATCCAAATGGAGACTGCAGCCAAGAAATCAGAAGATTTAGAGTTGGAGAGGCAGCAATGAATGAATTAGAAAAGATCATAAATTGTAAAAATGTCAGGATGCAATGATACAGTGTTCTTAACTGGTGTCAGACCCAAAGGCTTACACATAGCATCTAACATACAGAAGTGTAGGGATGCAAATGAGCGTGTTGAATTCAACTGCATTGATTCCTCTAGGCAAAGAAAACAGGTGTTGTTAAACAGAACAGTATAAGTTCCATGTTTGTCAACCTACAGTTGACAAACATGAAACTTATAATTCTGTTTAAACTAGAGGGGAGCTTTGTATTTGTCTCCCGGGGAGATTAATATGAAGCTTGCCACCACAAGTGCCTGGCCTGATTACAGCCCGCCCCACAGAACTGACCAGCCGACTTTCTGCTTGTTGCGCAGTGTGTGCGGCCGGTCTCATTGAAAGTGTGCCAATTGTGGCAGTAGCTTGGTTGGCACTTCTCTGCCTCCCTGCTCAGATGGTCACTCCGGCAGGGGAGCAGGATAATGAGTCTTCCCACTCACCTCCTGAGTGGCCAGCCGAGCAGTGAGGCGGGAAAGCGCCAGCCAGGCTACTGTTGCAATTGGCGCACTTTTAATGTTGCTGGTTGTGTGCAACGAGCATTAAGTGGACCGGCCAGTTCTGGGGATGGGCTGTAATCAGGGAGACAAATACAAAGATTCCCTCTCTAGTTTAAACCCTTTGTCATTGTTCTGTCAGGCTCTTGGTTTAATAAAAGAGGGGGAGTATTGGTTATACTGTTGCTTTTTTCCCTATGAAAATCTTATTTATTTTTTTTTAGATAACAAATGGAACAGTAGATATTAAAAAAATCATGAAAACGTGGACTGTCCAGAAGGGATTTCCTTTGGTGACTGTCAGAAGAGAAGGAAAACAGATCCATCTTCATCAGGAGAAATATGTTCATAATTTAGAATCAGAAAATCAGAGCATATATTCAAGGTTTCTTTCTCTTTCTCTTATTGTTCATTTGGGTAGTTAAACTAAGTCTGCAGGCTTTCCTTTAACTAAAGTAGGAGTTTAAGGCCAAGTCTTCTCTTGACAGCAAATAGATGGTTTGGATGTCGCAAACATACTAAAATGTATATCTTCTGAATTACCAGTAAGTGTCTTTGGAGTGCAGGAGGGATTTGATGATCATGATTGCTCTCTGATAGATGTTGATGGAACCAATGTGTATCCCTTCACTGAAATGAAAACCAAGCGTCTGTATACAATACTGATGGGTCAGCATTTGTAATCTTATTTATTTTTTATAAACTGCAGATTGGATTTTTGCATATGTCCAGTGAATTTTGTCTAGATTGCTTTCATGATAGAAAAGCGAGCTAACTCACAGACATGTACTTAATTTAGGCCAAGGCTGTGCAGCTTGTTGCTCCATTATTGTTACTGGATTGCAGCTTTCATCATACCTAGCCACCATTTGAGCAGGGTTGAGGGCAGCTGTAAGCCACCAATACCTACAGAGCCACCAGTTGCTGTCCCCAATTTACAAGTTTGCCAGTGATAAGCATGCATAGATTAATTTTTGAAAATGGGAAGTTTGCTACAAAATGAACATGGGATATTGAAATTTTCTTTTTGTACAATTTTTATCCTCACACCCTTGTTTTTCTTTGTGTACTTTGTTGGATTTTCTGAGGGATCTGTGAATCTTACCTCTCATGAGGCAGGGACCATTTTAAGAAAAAACTCCAAATTTTATAGTGGATTTCCCTCACTGAACACAGGAATTGGGGCCCGTGTACAGCTCAAATCCAGTGAGTGGTAGTTGAAGTTCCATGTGTAGTATCTCTTAAAAGCCAAAAATCATACACCTTAGTTGTTTGACATGCCATGGACAATAGCAGGGAATTGAAATTAGATCTCCCTCTCTGAAGATAACTGACTGCTGGGATTTTTAGCTTTAAAAAAGCACTCTAAGCAAGTAAGCCCATGTGCTGCATAAGAGAGGGGTATGTGGGTATAATAGTGGTGAACACAGTGATCTGAGTGACCAGCTGGGTATGTGAGTACAGAAGCCTATTTCTTTGTCTGTAACATAAATTGATTAATAGGGCAGAAACTGTCATTATGCATAGTTTATAGAGTGAAAGCACTTCTGTGTTAGAGATTCAGCTATATCGTCAAAATCAGTTGCAAGGAAATGTCCTGCTCAAATCCTGAAGAATGTTCACAAGCAAAGCAAGCAAGCAAGCAGATTTGCAAATTCTGGGGGATGATAGAAGCCCCTGCTATGACAATTGCATATTATCAGGCCTTAAGGATTTTCTTGTTCTAATGATAGTTTATCTCTAATCTCTGTTTCTGGTGGAGGTGACAGTTGTTTTTATGCAACAAAGTAGGTGCATTTTCTTTGTGGCTGAGGAATAAGTATAGCTAAACACTCTGTTGGTGCAGCATCAAGTTAAAAGAAGCCATTACTTTCCTCATTTCATATACAAAGCAGTTCATGATATGGTGGTAATAACTTTTTTTTATTTTTAATTCACTTAATGTGAATGATGTAACTGTCCCCTTCCATTGTGTGTTTTTGCAGATACAGGAATTGCTGCATGTGCCCTCTATTAAAGTGAAACCTCCCTGGGGATCTATTATTTGTGTAGTAACTTGCTTCTACAAAACTCCTCTTGCGACCATGTCATCACTTTAGACCGGTGGTTCCCAACTCTGGGTCCCCAGATGTTCTTGGACTAAAACTCCCAAAAGTCTTGGCCACTAGCTGTGCTGGACAAGATTTCTGGGAGTTGTAGTCCAAGGACATCTGAGAACCCAAGGTCGAGAACTATTTGTGTAGACAGATTGCACAGTGAGCCAGTGATTGATCATCAAATTGCTGAAGATAGCCATATTCAAAGTGGTAGTTTTTGTCTGTAACCACAGCTGATGACAAGGGGTCTAATTTGGGGGATATGGAGTGTTGTTTTTAAATCGTACTCCTGACTGATTCCATTAATCTGGATTAAAGTGCCATTTATATAATAATAATTGTTATATAAGAATATTAGTTACTTTTGCACTACATCTATGCATAATCTTGTAGAACAAACTGATACTATGTAAAAACTTTTTTCTCTCCCAGTTATCTGTGGCATATACCTCTTTCCTACAAAACCAGCAATGGCAGCTCATTTTTCGCTTTTGAGACGTATTTATTGAATCAAAGCTCAGGTATGGTATGTCTTCTTTGAGTATTGAAGGTTTGGAATTGTTGTAATGTTGTGAAGCCAAGGGAGGGTAGGAGGTGTTGTTGGCTCTTGTAAATGGTTGTGAGGATTTGAACAGATAGACACAGAAAAGAAGGGGGGGGAGACTAGACTTTTTTAAAAAATGCACATGGCTCTTGCTATTTCTTTCGCTCCCTCTTTCTCTTTCCTTCCCTCGCTCTCTCTTCCCCCCTCTCATATATTAGTGAGCTATTCTCACAGTGTTTTTCTCTTTTGAAATAAGTTTGTTGGAGGTACATTCTTGCATGTAGCAACTCTGCTTCATGGTAGAAATGAGAACTGAGTTTGTGATGGATAGCTTTATGTAACCTGGCTCCTCTAAAATATAAAGAAGATAGAGCAACAGTGCCAGCCAGAAAGTTGGTGGATTCACGTCTGCACAGATACATTTTTATAACTGAAAACTGATTTCAAGAGAAGATGAAAGCAGCATGTGTTAATATATATTAACACAGGGCTACTACATCACAGGATGTACCTCCAGCCGACTTATTTCAATAGAGAAAATCATATACTATGCCAAAATCTAAACTGCTACATAGCTGATACATTAAATGTGCTAATGAAAAGCAGTAGACCTGTTATAAAGAGAAAAGACTTAACATGATCTCCTATCCTCTTTTTTTCCTTTTTCTTTTTTTGGAAAAAGTATGCAAAAAGAGTGAGACTGGATAGTTATGTCAAACGTTCTGATGGAAAATAAACCAAGTATGAAATATGTCTTTATTGCAGAATTAACTTCAGACAGTTTTGACTGAGATGAGATGTCTTTTGGTTTCGTTTTTCATTTTTAGGTACTGTACTATGAAGTGAAAAGCAGAACTGACTGGGCACATTAATGTGATTTTCAAATGGGATAGTTCTAACTCATTTATTTAGCAAACACACTTATTTGTTTGAGTAATTATTTCTTGCAATTTCTAGGTTGACTGTTACAATGAGAGATCTTTCTCAGTAGTCTAATAGCGTGTCAGCACTGTGATAATTGGATAGATCTATTGAGATCACACAATGCTTCACAATTCATGCATATAAATAGGGTTCTGGTCATGCCTCCTGTTCTTTCATGGCAATGCAAGCAATAATTGAAGGTAGCAAAATGATTTGCATAGGTGGCCTGTTACTTTAGATCAGTTCTGTACAGATCAGGGAAACTTTTCAATAAAATCTAGGTTGTACATTTGATTGTTGAACTCGGAGCTTGGCAAGGTGCCATGTGAATATCTTAATGTTGCTCTAACATATTCCTCTATTGTCAAATAAATTTAGTGTTCATTATTATTTGTGTCTTCAGGTAGTTCAATTCATGGGATGCTTATGGGTTTGGCTCATGCTAGTCCATGTGAAAACATTTTATACTGTTGCCTGCAAGTTAGTAGCATCCTAGAGGTACTCTGTGGATATAAATATTAGTTGATTGTAACTTACCTCAGTTGCTGGGGGTTGGAATTAAGAAAGACAGATGGTTTCTTCAGTGTTGCAAGTAAAGAGTAAAGAGTTGCTGATCTTATGAAAGCCTAAAGGTTAGCAAATATTTTGAAGACAGAAGCAAACAAATCCTCTCTTTCTCTTTTTCTGCCTAGGTGTTATTGACCTTCCAGGTAAAACAGAGTGGGTGAAATTCAACATAGAAGCAAATGGCTATTATCTTGTGCAGTATGCTGATGATGACTGGGATTCTCTAATTCATCTACTAGAGAGAGATCATACTGCTCTGAGCTCCAGAGACAGAGCTGATCTGATCCACAACATTTTTAATCTAGCAGGGTAATGCTTTCAATGTAAACTAGTTAGTTTATTCTTTCTAAGCAAAGTCTAAAAATAAAATTAGGAATGTGTAAGGAAAAACAGGACACAGATGTAACCTTAATAACAATCTCTTACTATATTTCTGTTGTTTACATGTCTTATGGGGGAAGAAAACCCTCCAAACAAGTAAGAAATCACAAAAGTTATTATTCAGATTTGTTGTATTCATGTAAACAAATGGTTGTCTACAAGCAGTGGGCCAGAGGAGTCCTGCTTAGGGTAGTGTGCTAGTTGTGTCCTGTAAATAGAACATCTCTTGAAGCTTTGGAGACGTATTCCTACAGTCTTCTGGATAAAGAAAAGGGTTTCTATGCATCATTCCCAGTAGTATGAATAAGTAAAGCAAAACTTATCCTTGTAAAGTGTGGCTAGGTTAGCATCATTTTTTTAACTAAGAGTACTGTATATAGCCCAGATTATTTTTGGGGGGGGAATGATGGTGGTGGATTTTAGGAAGGGCTAATTCTCTTCTGCTACTTCACCATCTTGCCAATTCAAAGGAAATACCTTGAGCAAATTGTTTTCCGAATGTCTTCCCTTAGTCTGACTTCATTTACTAATACAAAAGGAGGGAAAGCCTGTTATAATCTATTAGTAGTCTAACCGAGGTGGCACCTACTCTCACTTAAAAAGAAAAAAAGATATTGTAGTAATATAATTCTGCAAATTGGACTATTTCAACATCAGTTTTTCAATTTCCCCCCCTTTTTACTTTTTGCATACCTTTCAAGAATTTGACTTTCCTGCAAGTATTAACATGTACTCTACCACAAAGTCACAAAGTTCCATATACTGTATCCTAATACACAGTTCCAGGCCTTGAGGGGATATTGGTTAGCATACTGAACAATTCTTGTTTTATAATGTCCCTTTAGAATGGGAAAGGTGCGTTTCGCCAAGGCCTTTCAGCTGTTGGACTATATAGTGAAAGAAAATGACACTGCTCCAATTGTTCAAGCTTTGTATCAAATGAGTCGTATTTTCAACCTGGTTGAGAAGAGGAGAATGCAGGACCTTGCCTCCAGAGTATTGGTAAGTTCTTGAAAATATGTAGATAGTGATTCTGTGAAAACTAGTTCAAGTTATGAAGTTACTAAATTCTCAGTCACACTTAATTTACAGTACAGGCCATACTACTTCAAAACGTATGGTAGTGTCCCAGTTAATGCCAAGGCCATCTATTTGTGACTACTGTACAGTGGTGCCTCACATAACGGGCGCCCCGTTTAATGACGAATCCGCATAGCGACAATGTTTTTGGGATCGCATAACAATGTTTCTTATGGGGGGAAATCTTTTGCGACAATCAGTAAGCTGTTTCGCTTACCGATTTTCGCATAGCGATGTTTTTCCCCAGCTGATCGGTGGTTCCAAAATGGCCACCGGGTAAAACAGGAACAGATTCCTCGCATACCGGACAGCTACAATGGCCACCATATGGAGGATTTTCGCTTAAAAGGTAGGTTTTAAGCCCATAGGAACACATTGAAGGGGTTTCAATGCATTCCTATGGGCTTTTTAATTTCGCATAGCGATGAATCCGTATAGTGACGATTTTTGCTGCACGGATTATCGTCGCTATGCAGGGCACCACTGTATATCCTTTGTAGTTTGGAGGCATAAAGGATTCCTCGCATACCGGACAGCTAAAATGGCCGCCGTATGGAGGATTTTCGCTTAAAAGATAGGTTTTAAGCCCATAAGAACGCATTGAAGGGGTTTCAATGCATTCCTATGGGCTTTTTAATTTCGCATAGCGATGAATCCGTATAGTGACGATTTTTGCTGCACGGATTATCGTCGCTATGCGGGGCACCACTGTGTATCCTTTGTAGTTTGGACGCATAAAGATTATTGTCCCACAGAGGATAAAAACAGAAGCGTATGGTTCTCTTAAAATTTGTAACTTACTTATCTCCGTACAGTACCATAGAATATTTGTGGTGGTTTTTTAGGATACATTTGTTTTCAGATCATGTAATGAACTCACAGGAAATTACAGGGTTGTTTTTTAGACTACTGGGCAGTGTTCATATTGAGGAATACATGTCTTGTAAATCTCGTACACTTGTTTCAGTACATGAGAAGTTTGTGATAAAAATCTGCTTTCATTTGCTTTTCTTGTTGAGATTGGGCTAAAGGTCTCCAGATACTTATGGGAACATTCTTTTATGTCGTCCAATTGGAAGACATAAAAGAATGTTCCCATAAGTATCTGGAGACCTTTAGCCCAATCTCAACAATATATATTAGAACTTTCACAGTGTGATTCATCCTCAGTTTTGGTGATAGGTGATATTTGGAATAAATTTAGGTTACAGATGATATTTGGAATAAATTTAGCAAGGGGGGAATGCTTGTTCAGGGTCCTTGATAGAATTAAGTGGGATAACTCCTAGGAATGGAGAGTGAGTTGTAGGTTTTTATTTTTGTACAAATACATGCTTTGGAACACTTTGGGATTTATGTTAGCACAGGAACGCGGAAAATTCAGTGGAGTCCAGTCCAGGCAGTCCAAAAGAATCATGCACACACAGGCAGCTTCACCAACACCAGTGTATTTACATGCTATATATATACAGTAGTGCAGTCCAGCAGCATAACAGCATAACACTCAGAACAGGAGGAAGTACATCTACTGTACAGAGTACACATATATACTTATGTATATCTATCTGTCCAATCATATTAGACATTGCATCATACATGAGTCAGCCCTCATGAGTCATCATGACTCAGCATTTCTACACACCTGTTCATTATGGCTGCTCATTAACACACCTTATTCTGCTCAGGCCTGTAAACTTACCTTGACAATTTATGAACTGCATCCTACCAGAAGGCAGTATTATCGGGCTTGATTATTATTCTGGTAATTTTTATTTTTCTGTTTTCTAGCGTAGGACTGAGAAACTACTTGGAGACAAGATTAAACAACAGACATGGACAAATAGTGGGACCCCCTCAGAACAAGAGCTGCGGTCTAGTCTACTAAGCTTTGCCTGCTCCTATGGTTTGGGAGATTGCAGTACAACTGCTGTTGAACTGTTTAAGAAATGGAAAGACTCCAATGGCACTGAAAGGTACAATATAGAAGCATTCCCTAGGTTCAGGTTGCCACTAGAATTGATGGGACTATTTTAATATTGATCTGTATCTGGAAACGTGTCTCGATAGCTTTTCGTCTAGGTGACACACATTACTGTAGATGTATTTTCCTTACTACAACAGATCCAATTTCAAATTATTCAGTACTCGGATTAGAAAACAGATGAAACAGACTACCTTTGGATAAAGATTCCTTGATTAGCAGCCCTGTTAGCTCCAAGAAGGTGAATTTGGCCCTGCATTGGCTGCTTAGGAGTTCTCAAGCCTTGCCATACTCGTCTTCATCTAGAGGAAAGAAAATGTAACTTTTCAGCTTCTTTAATTACCATGAGATCCTATGGATACCATCCTTACAGAATCTTTCTCTAAAACTCGTCTTAGACTTTTGTCCTGTTTTGTTTCTGTACTGAACATAGGAGCAGGAGCTGAGTTCCAGTAGTAGCACAAGAGATTCCTGTCCCTTGTTCCAGGGCAGAGAGCTGGCACTTCTGGTTCAATGTGGATTGGGAGTTCTATCTTACCTCTCAAAGCTTGAGAAACTTCACAGTGCCTAAGAACTGTAGCGAGGCCATTTTGCTCTTGTTTTTAGGACCAGAAAGATGGAATAGTTCAGCTTGCCTTACACTAATATACTCACATCAGAAAATACTGCAATGATGAAACTGGACAGCCCATCCATTGAGGGTTTTATTTTTTTGTATTACTTAAACATCTGCTACCATCATAGCAGAGACCAGGAACCAACACATGCTGGCTTTTCAAGCAACCACTGGAAATGTGAGGTGTCCATCTCTGTGCACTGAGTCACTGTGGAGTTTGGTGCCATTTTCCCCCTAGTTTTGTTTTTTGTTTCCCACATTGAATTATATAACTTCTAGTCTTATACAGCATTGATCGCTATTTACCAAGTATTTGAGAGGTTTTGTAAACTGAAATTGAGAAAAGTTATCCAGCATGCTGTTCATTGCTAATCCTTTGCTGTGACTGGTTTTTGACTGCACTCTTGTTTCTCTCTTTAGCCTATCAGCTGATGTTATGAAGATCATATTCACTGCTGGAGCAAAAACTAACACTGGCTGGGACTTCCTTTTGAGCATGTATTGCTCTCTGGTTTCTGAACCAGAAAAGTTCAAAATCCTTGAGGCACTGGCCAGTTCTGAGGATGTTAGAAGATTGACATGGTATGAATACCCCCACTTCAAAATCCTAAGACTTAACTAGCCATTTACTTTTGCTTTATTTGGGTTAATCAATTACATTGGTGACCCGCTTGACGATGACCCCGCCTGATGGCGAAATCGCTTTATGATTAGCGATCGCAAAACGATGTTTATGGGGGGTTTTTGCTTTACGATGAATAGTTCCCTGCTTCAGGAACCATTTTTTTGATAGATGATGATTAGAAATAGCTGATCGGCGGTTCGCAAAATGGCTCCCCGCTGTTTTCTGGGCCAATTGTTCACAAGACAGGGATCCCAAAATGGCCGCCCTATGGAGGATCTTCGCTGGACGATGAGGTATTTCCCCCATTGGAACGCATTGACCGGTTTTCAATGCATTCCAATGGGGTTTTATTCCGCTTGATGACGATTTCGCTTAATAGCAATTTTCCTGGAACACATTATCGTTGTCAAGTGGGGCACCTCTGTAATTGCTTTTCATTGCTGCAAACTTGGATGTGTCATTATGAAAGCAAGGCAAGACAATATTTGCATATTTCACATGTTTTCTCTTTCATTCTTTTATGCTAGAGAGAGAGAGAGAGAGATGTTCCATGCACTGATGTTTAGGTTACTGTGTGGATGTTTTGACTTGACAACATCAGTGTCTGGGGGAGTGTTCTCTCTCTCACTCTCTTGCTCCCTGAACAACATTGCCATAAATTGCTTCAAAACTGAAACAACAGTTTATACTTTCTAATCCTGTGGTTCTTTGAAATCAGAATATAAAAAATGCATGTAGCCAGAAATGAATTTGCACTTTTTAAAAATGACATTCTAATCCTGAGTTCTAAAGTAACTAAGTTAGGGAGCCTTGGCTAAAAGTTTGTGAATTTAAGTCATGTCTCAGCAAGACAGTAATGCTACTACAAGTTTGTTAGCAGTCTTAAAGAATGCACAACACAGATGGCTCTTGCATAGATAAATGTACACATTTGGAGGTGCTTTCACTCCAAATGTAGTGAAGAGGCAGGACTAATCTGCATACACTAGAAGTCCTCTCTCCAGTTTTTCCCCTGGGATCAGGGAAACAAATCTTAATCATATTGGGTATATCTAGTGTAGGCAGTGTGAGGATCAGTTAAGACATCAGAATTAATGGTTCATTTATCACCTGTGTTCTAATCGGTGTAAAAGGGAAACAGAAAAAAAAAGAGGCTCTTTATATGTGGTAGGATGGGACTCAAATGTATACTATTTAAGTGCCTAAAATTTATGCACATACCCATGTGGTCTTATTTGTGTGACAGACTTCCATGCAACTTGTGTGTAAATTGGACTGCAGAGAAACTGACTTGATTAGGGTTGTGAACTTGAGCATAGCCCATAGGTTTGAGGAAGATACTACTTTCCCAGGTTGAGATCTGGAGCATTACACATTTGACAAACATATGTCCTTCTGTGAATATTTCCTGGTCTGCCATGAATAGTCTAGTCCAGTTGATGCAGATACCTTTGAAGTATGGGTGTATGATTGTAAATCAGCTCTGCCTGTTTTTTTCTTTGCAGGTTGATGCAGACAAGCCTGGAAGGAATCATCATCAGATCACAGGACCTTCCAATTGTCATAAAAACAGCTAGTCAGAGTCTGGCTGGACATTTGCTGGCATGGGACTTTGTCAAACAAAATTGGGATCATCTTATAAAGAAGTAAAAATTTTAAATTTTTGTCATAAATTCTGTATTTACTCTTTCCTCTCCTCTCCTACGAAAAGAACCATTTAAATTGGCTGTACAGTGTTACCTCGACTTACGAATCTAATCCGTATTGGAACTGTGTTCGCAAGCCAAAATGTTTGTAGGTCGAGACACCATTTTCCATAGGAATGCATTGAAAACCGATTAATGCGTTCCAGGAGAACAAAAAACCCCCTAATCCGTATTGGAACTGTGTTCGCAAGCTGAAATGTTTGTAGGTCGAGGCACCACTTTCCATAGGAATGCATTGAAAATCGATTAATGCGTTCCAGGAGAATAAAAAAACCCAAAAAATTAAAAATAAAACACTGCAAGTCCTACGCTGGGACTGAAAAAAAAACCCCAAAACAAACAAATCCAAAAAATAAACATTGGAGCAAGTCCCATGCTGGGACTGCAAAAAAATAAATAAATAAAAATAAATTTTAAAAATCACCAAAAACTAAGACAACACAGAAATATACCCCCCAGCCAAAACCTACCCTTCAAAACCCACCGAGATCAACTTTTTAAACAGAAAAAACCAGCACTTACCCATCCGAAGCCTCCTGGGGGTTCCCCGCTGCTGCCATCGCCACCGCTGCCACCGTGAGGCTTGAGCCTGGCTGGGGTGCTTCAGCCGCTCACCCCTAGCCGCAGCAGAGGCAGCAATCGCCCAGCGCCGGGAAACTTGAGCTGGCCAGGTTTCAGCTGTTTGCCTCCCGGCTCGCCTCCCACTTGCTCCACGCAACTCTCTGTGGGCCCATGACAGCAAATTCAAATGGCGGAGGATGGCGAGGAGCGAGCAGGAAGCGAGCCGGGAGGGAAGCGGCCAAAGAAACCCAGCCAGCTCAAGCCTCCTGGTGCTGGGTGACCACTGCCTCTGATCGGGGTAGCAGGGGACCCCCGGGAGGTCTCTCAGGGGTTCCCCACCACCGTCGGAGACCTCCTGGGGGTCACCCACCACCTTGATCGGTGCCTTCAGGCTTTCCCGGGGGATAGACCAGACCTACCAGAGGAAGCCCTCCCCTGGTAGGCCCGGTCTACCCTCCCCCCCGGAAAGCCTGACAGCACCGATCGTGGTGGCTAGAAGCCCTGGGAGACCTCCTGGAGGTCTGATTGCGGCAGCAGAAAAGGGTGGAAAATATATAATTGCTCCCCCGCCGCCGCCGCGATCGGACCTCCAGGAGGCCTCCAGAGGCCTCCAAAGGTGCCGATCGTGGTGGCGGGGGACCCCCAGGAGGTCTCTGATGGTGGCGGGGAAGCCCTGGGAGACCTCCCAGGGTCCCCCGTCACCATCAAAGACCTCCTGGGGTCCCTTTTCGCCACCAGTGGTTTGAATGGAACAAAAAAAAAAGGCAGGGGAAATTTGAATTTCCCGCCTTTTTCCTCTGCCTTTTTTTCATTTGCAAGTCAAGTCTCTGTTTGCAAGCCAAAGCAACATTTTGTGAATGGAGCCGTTCATAACTCAAAATGTTCACAAGTGGAGATGTTCATAAGTTGAGGTTCCACTGTATGTGTCTTTTAATAAGGAGATACAAATGATCCCAATAAACCTTCTGCTTCGATCTTGAGTGCATTTCTTAGGTCTTCCAGCATGACCATATCAATTTGTAAAATTAACTTTTCTGGGAAAGACTTAAGAACTGTCCTTAAATCTGGTATTTAAAGAGTATTGTAGCTTAAGTCTTTAAGCTGAGTATTCACCTATTTTGTGATCTGAGAAGTAGCTGTATTGTTTTGATATTCTTTCTCTATGTTTGGTGTGAAAAATACCAAACATTTGAGAGCCTCATGAATGCTTTTTTCTGTGGTTATCAACCTGTGATAAACAAATTTGTATAAATGTTGATTTCTTATTTTAAAAATATTAAACCTTACAGTGCACTTGCAGCTTCTAAAACCAATTAGGTTTTAATTCAGTAACATATGTTTTGAATAAACATTGATTCATTCCTCTGAATTTCAGGTTTCACCGTGGATCATACACGATGCAAAATATTGTGATTTCAACTACTTCTCAGTTCTCAACACAAGAACATCTGCTTGAGGTTTGTTGGATAACATGTTCCAAAGGCTATTAGGAAAATCCTTTCACTAGTCAGGCAATATATCATAGAGGACCAAAATTCTGTGTCATGGTAGTGCTGCCTTTTTTCCCATTAGCTTTAGTGTATGAGCATTTTTGATTAAAAAAAAGAATAAAATTAGAGAAATTCCTGCTAACAGGTTGCAATGCTGCTGTGAATAGAGGTTGGGGAAGTGAGAAATAACTGACAAAAACATGTACAGTGGTGCCTCGCTAGACAGTTACCCCGCATGACAGGTTTTTCGCTAGACATTGACTTTTTGCAATCGTTATAGTGATTCGCAAAATAGTGATTCCTATGGGGGAATTTCGCAAACCGATTTTCACTAGACAACGATTTTGACAGCTCCCTTCGTGCTCGCAAAACAGGTGTTTTCAGGACCTAAGCTTCTCAAGACAACAACTTAAACAGCTGATCACAAAGTGGCTTTCCTATGGCCGATCTTTGCTAGACAACAACGATTCTTCCCCATTGGAACGCATTAAACAGGTTTCAGTGCATTCCAATGGGGAAATGCTTTTCGCTAGATAATGATTTCGCTGAACAGCGATTTCAGTCTAGCGAGGCACCACTGTATCTTAATAAGAGAAGTAAGAACTCAACAGCATTGGTTACAGTAGCAGGACATCTGCCTGGTTATTAGATGTGAATCCAGAACTCTGGGAGACCTGACATCCAACTCAGTTAATACACATGTGGAATGATGTATTAACTGGGTTGGCACTTCAGTCTGCCAATGCTCCAGATTCACGTTGGCTGGTCAAAGAGAGAGTGCCTCTTGAGCTCCTCTTTTTTTTTGGAAACAGGCAGACCAGAGTGAAAACTTTGCCACTGTGGTCTGCGTGTTCTGGACCTGCCCCCTCTGACTCCTAGACACCCATAGGTCAACTAATTGGAGCATGCCTGACTCAAGACATTTCCCATTGGCCCCAACCTCATGCTGGAAAGTTGATTGGCTAGGGGTCATTGCGTTCTGGTGCCGCTACACCTCCCCTTTGGCTCAGGCCTGCTGCAACAGGCACGGCACGGAGAGCCAGACAAGGCTGTCACATGTGTAATTAAAAGCAGTGGTTTTAGTTCTTACGACAAGGAATCAGTTTGCATTTTCAGTATGTGGTCGCTATAGTGGTTTAAAGCCTAAGGGCTAAATGTATTTGATAAATGCATAGAATTAGTGGGACTTAATTCAGTGTCATCTGTTTCCAGGTGTCTATAATTTTGGGATTAGCTATTGGGTTTAGTCCTAAATGTGCAAATCAATGAAATTTAACTGAAGCTTCTCTATCACACTCTTTCTTTCCAGATATCAGCATTTATAGAGGCAAGATAATTTTCTTATCCTGACTTTTTTGATGTTTGTATTGCCTTTTTTAGGTGGAGACTTTCTTTGAATCAAAGTCAGAGGAGACTGCTCAGCTACGGTATGTCCAGGAAGCCATTGAGACAATTCAGCTAAACATTCACTGGATGACAAACAACTTGGCACAGCTGAAGGAATTGCTCTAGTGATCCCAGTTCCTCCAGCACTTCTGTATTTGCCACGTGGGATGCTGCAACTCTGCTCTTTGGCTTCTGCATAGAGCCATGGTTGAAAATGGGCAATGCAACTTTCTTTGCACTATGAGAGGGTTCTAGTTAGCTCAGGGTACATCTTTTCCTAAGCTGTCTCTTTGTAGAGGGTTTGTGGACTTGATGTTGTTGCTTGTTAAAGAAATGCTTATTCATTGACCAAACATTCACATAAAAAAGTTTTAACATGATATTGCAGCTCTCTTCCATTACAGAAATGTCCAGTTTCATTTTCTACGCACTGAATGGGGCAGGGGAAAAGATTAACAAAACAGAGCAAGACAGGAACTCTCACGAGAGCTGCTCTTTCTTTGCCAAGCACTGTTTAATTAGCCTTCCTCATTATCTGTAGCTTCTTGAATTGTAAATAGCGTACCTGCTGTGAAGCATGTGGGTTTTTTAATTCCCATGATTATAAACAGATGCACATAATGGATGTGGACAGCTGAAGTTACAAGTTGGGTTTTGAGAGCTCTGAATCTTGATTTATCAAAATGTTTTCTAGAAATTATGCAAGTATCAAAAATAGATATCTATATATAATATAAACAATTATTGATAGAAAAAATATTTTGTCTGCAATATAGCTGAGTGCTATGAACACCATGAACTGAATAAGTCAAATAGTATTTGTACAGATGAATAACAAGATTGTGTCATTTGTGCAGTGCACACGCACATACGTCTATGTTCCCTATGCTGAAGCAGCCTGAACAGATTTTCAGACAAGATTAGAATTGTAGCTTGGAGAACATTTTATACCAAGAAACAATTGTTTTGAAGACCTCCCTTTTCACTAAGAGTTGAAAATAAACTTTTGTGTATATTTTTTTCCTGTAGTCCTCTCCTATTATGGAGAGCCCTCAGAAATAAGTCCTAATCTTGCCCACAAGGCATCAATCTTGTGAAGTGTGCAAGAGGGATACCATCATCAGACTTCAGATCATTTATTATTTTCTTAGGGCTCTTCCAGATGGGTCAACAGTTCTTCCCCCATTTCTCCCTGTTCATCACAAAGGGGTGGAGGTTTATCTCTGAATTTCATTTGCAAAAGCTGCTTCAGCCAAAACCTTCCCTTTCAGAAGTCTGAAAATTTTTTTAATAAATATGTAGCAATCAATTGTTCTGCTAGTGCTTCTCTATAGCTGGTTTGTTTTGTTTTGATGTTTAAAGCTGACAACCTAAGTGAATGCTCTCAACCAGAATCTCTCATTGCTAAAATGAACAACTTCTGGGAGTATCATGCCGCTAAACTTTGCCCCCACTCCACCCTCCAAAGAACTAAACTGAAAGCAGCCAATGCATCAGGAGGGGGCAAGGATCCCAAAAGGTCACAGATGTTGTCACTTTTTGAGCCAAGACAAATCTTATGTTGTTTTGATAGGAAAAGCATTGATAGCATCAGAGATGGCATGTACACCATAGAGAATATGTGCTCCATTTGGAAGAGGCCTGACTTCCATGTGCGTGCCAAGCAGCATGCATTGCACTGTTGCATTAACTCTGGTATCCTTTGTATTGGAATTCCATGCTTCAGAATCATCTCTGTACACTGAAGGACACTTGTTTCACTGTATTCACATCAATCCTGTCTTTTCGGGAAATGGACTAAAGCCAGTGATTGTCAAGCCATGAGATACCTGAAAACTTACCAAAAATCAAATAGTCGGGTTTAATATTATCATGAATGATCCCGTGCTTCTAAAGCTCTGCTACCATGTGTAGGATTTATAAAGCAAAGTGGATAATGGGCACTTGCAATCTCATCTGCATCACTCTTTTGTGTCTGGGTATGGTGCCTCTAACCTGTAAAAGCCCCAAGCTAAAATACTTGCATTGCAGAAAAAATCAGCAGAATGAAAGTAGGTGAAACAATGGTGCATGCTTAGTGAAAGCATTTCAGTTATTTGATGTTTTTATGTAGAAATCTCAGGGGTGTGCAGTCATCTGTACTTTTAATGTTACTTTCTGATGTGTGTGTGTGTGTGCGTGCGTGTGTGTTGTGTTATCTACATAAAGGGCATCAGCTTTCTCCTTCAAGTAAGTAATCCATATGGAAGGATGAAATGTCAATTGGAGTTCTTTCAATCTGAGACCTGGGAAACTCAGTTTATTTTCAGAAGTCTTAGGGCATAGCTACACTGCCCATTTGGTATGGACTGGTGTGGTCTAAATAGGGTCTTGTGAGGTTGGGAGAGGAGTGATGTGCCATTTGGGACAATCTTCATGTCCAAATAGCATATCGATCTCAAGTGACCCTCCGGTTCCTTCTACAGTCAGTTGAACACTTCTCCTGTTCCTCTTTGGAGGGGCAGGGAAAGTGAGATTATTTTTGCTTGTGCTAGACCATTGGTGATGCACTGAATCACTTATTTTTTTTCCTTTTCCTTGTATGTAGTGTTGATTGAGAAACTGCCCACAGCTGCAGTTTTGACTGGCACTTTATACACAGCTTGGGCCCTGGATACCTGAAGGAGCACCTCCTTCCTTATGAACCTACTCAGCAGTTAAGATCTAGCCAGGGGGGCCTTTTGAAAGAGCCGTCCCTCAAGGAGGTAAGAGGGATGGCTTGTAGACAAAGGGCCTTTTGGGTAGCTGCCCCCAGACTGTGGAATGCTTTCCCGTCTGAGATTCGCATGGCGCCAATACTGATGACATTTCGGTGCCAGGTCAAAACCTTCCTGTTTCAGAAGGCTTTTAATTGAAATAATATCAACTGTGGGTCCTGATGGCAATTTTTAGACTATATATTTCAATTGTATTTTAATTGTTTTATGCCGCCCAGAGACCTTTGGGTAGTGTGGGCAGCATAGAAGTTAAATAAATAAATAAAGGTGAAGAAAAAAATATTAATTTAATTTAAATGATTCAACACAATAGCAATGGTCTAGCAGAGTGAAAAAAATAATTTCCCTTCCACAGAGAAGCAGGGAAATTGTTCAATTTGCCAATATGCTGAAGTGGCTCACTTATTAAGCCACCTTACAGTTTTGGAAATTGAAACCAGGAGGAGCTTTGGCAGCTGCAATGAACAATCTTAGTCTGTTCCTAGTAGTTGCACATGCTGAGAACAGACTAAACGTAAGCACATCAACATGCACCAAAAAAAAATAAAAATAGAAACCCCTGATAAGGGCTCAAAACAGTGCAGGTTAGGGTGCTCTGGGGGCAAATTGGTCCACTCTAGTGATTATGTCATGTGGTTGCTGGGGGGGAAAAAGAGCAGACCAATCCGCCCCACAACACACACAACAGTGGGACACATGCCCCTCTGAATGAGCTCTTAGAGTAAGCATTTAGTGGTCTAAGTAGTCCAGAGAGCAGCTGGCAGATATAATAGCCATCCCTAGAATTCTTAACGACTTTACCTTGAAGGCATTTACAGGAATGGTACTGAATGGCATGGAGTTAACATGGGGGAAAGGTGCAAAAGTTCCTGTTGTGTTCCAGCTAGGAACAAGCCTTTGTTATAGTGACTAATTTCACTGTGTAGTCACCTCCTAGGCTCCTTGCTGGCTGGCTTCCCTCTGCTGGTTTGGCAGCACAGCCTGCTCTGGGACATTTTCTATTGGCATTGAACCTGGCTAGGGGATCTGTGCATTCTCATCTTCAAATGTTTTAAAAGTGAGTGATGTAGCAGAACAGTGGGCTTAACACTATCATGGCTGGTCCTTTACGTTGCCCTTCAGCGGCACTGGAAGGGTACTGAAGGGTGTAAAAGGGAGTTGAGGAACATATGTCCACGTCTCCTGTGATATTCAGACTAGGATTTTGTGGCCCAAACGTGCAGTTATTTAGCCAGGCCTTAGCTGGTTGGCTGATTTTCCATGACTGATGTCTCATTAAAAATGGCTGTATTCGGAGGGAGTTTTCAGTGCCGTATTTGTCAATCAGGTTTATCCTAAAACGTTGAATCCCATCTCTCTATGTACATATGAAATCTCACTTTCTATTAGTGTTTTAGCCAGAACTATAGCTCAGTATACAAACAGTTCTGTTAGATGCTTCACTCCCCCGTCCCATTACTACTGATTTTAATTAATGTGCTTTCGCTAGAGAAACCTTATTATGGACACAGTGGAACTTTCTCTACTCGTTAGCTCTATCCAACTCAATAGTGGAAAATTACTTTGTTTCTTCTTACGCTATCTGTGATTTAAGAACAACACTGAGATGAAGTTGATGTATATTTTTGGTCAATGAGACCCCAAATTTAAAAAAAAATAGTGTTTTAATTTTTCAGACAGTTTGGAGGGCACTGTGATGGAATTTGGGATGCTTTTCTTAGATTAATTGCCTAATCATCAAATCAGTGCCAGCAGAACTGCTGGATAGCTCGGTGGTTTAGGTATCTGGCTGTGGAAGCAGAGGTTGGGAGTTTGATTCCCCACTGCACCTCCTTAACAGGCTGGACTCAATGGCCTAGAGGGTCCCTTCCAGCTCTGCAGTTCTAAGATGATGATGATGATCATGATGATCATGATGATCATGATGATGATGATGATAAAAACGTGACTTCTACAAATTAAATAGTTGCTTTGCATCAGAAATAAATATCCATATATTATTTAAGAGTATAATTTTAATATTTCAGACTTGCTAATATAAAAAACAAATTCATCAGAATGATATGTAAAATAGTTCAGTTTCCAAAATTAATTGGAAGATACTTGTCTTCATATAACCAAAGGAAAAATGTTACTTTGCCTTCACTCTTTCAATGGGAGGAGAGGGCAACCATGAATGTTTCTCTTTCTGGTTTCTTTCCCCTTTTTTTCCACTACACACTGTTCCTGTATAATTTTGTTTTGTAACAAAATGATAGGCAACATTCTGTAGAATAGTTGGTACTTCAATTCCCCTTGTGGGTCATATGACACGGTCCTTTGATCATACAGAGATACAGATGCACTTGCTACTGGAAATGTGAACTATACTTGAAAATCTACTGCATCTGTATTCTAGAATATAATGTTTAAATGAAAGCACTGTTGCTCTAAGAATATTTTTCAGTTATTTATCTTTTAGTGTGGATTTTGGGTTACAGTACGTTATATCGTATTGCTTAAATGTAGAAATGCATAATCAAGTTATTTTATCCATGTCTAGATCTGAGACCTGTCCTTCCACAGAAGCAGTTGAAACTCTTGTTTACTTTCTTAAAATGCAAGTCAGATGAAGCATGAATTCTCAATAAGTGTTGAGTATTTTAGTGGCTTCACTTTGAAGGGTGGTGTAATGTATGTAGGTTTAAGCCATAAAGGACAGCTCACCGTTATTAATGTCCTGCTTTAAACTAACTTTAATCAGTCATGAGCATCTTTCAGAAGAAAAAAATGCACTAAAGTAATATGTCATTTATCTAGTTGTATTATATGGGTAGCTTTTGTGTTGTAAAGAATTTTCTATTTTCAGACATGTTTAGGGTGAATGCTAGTAGTCTGGATTTCCTCCTTTGTTTAACTTAAATGTCTGTTAGTTTGGAAAGGGGGTGCTGTTCATTCATGGTCAAAGCCTTTATGTTAGTGTTGTATCTTATTCTGCAATGTGTGTGTGTGTCTGTGCATACAGTTGAGGCATACATAACACCTATACATGCATAGCTATATGTTGCAGTTGGTCTTTTAAATTTTTTTGCTGAGATAAATACACATGCGATAATAAGTTTAACATTAATTTTTTCATAGCTATATGTTGCAGTTGGTCTTTTAAAAATTTTTGCTGAGATAAATACACATGTGATAATAAGTTTAACATTAATTTTTCAGTACACACACACACACACACACACACACACAAACACACACACACACACTTCTGAGATCAGACATTTCAGAGTATAATTACGGTATAGGAATCCTTCTCTGCCTGCTGTTTGTTTTTAAAGTATTTGAAAGAATTTGAATATAATGAAACCTGGTTTGTGTTATATTGGATAGTAGTAACAGTTCGTGTGCCTTAAAATATATTATAAGGGCTTTGAAATGAATATGCTGATACACAGGGAAGCCTAACCATTAAAAACAGCTGCCACCACATTTTGCAAATGTATTCATCCCTTCATAGACTAGATAGAGGTAGGGTGTTCCATGTACACAATAAAGGAAAACCTTTTAGTTT